AGCACATCACTCTCCAGTCTACAGAGGCAGACGGAAACCCCCCATCGACTTCCGACAGCTCACATCAATGCCAACAGACTGGTATGTTAGCAAGGGATCCAAACTAGGATGAGCTCAGGCTTGCCAGCCAGAACCCACGCAGCTCAGGCTGCCCACAGCTCTTGCGCTGCCGTTTCCCACGTATAAAGTATAAAGGCCCATGGAACTAGGAAGTGTTGTTAAAGTCTTACTGGCTTAAAGCAGAACCAGAACCCAAATAAAGCACACAAACAGCTCACACACACACAGGCAGGACCACATGGCTGTCCAGCCTTCGGGAGAAGCCCTTATTTTAACAGGCAAGGATACCGGGGGGTAGGCAGTGATGCTTATCCAGTCACACATCGACCTGGGGAGCTCCAATCTCCTGACTTCTGACCCTGCACCCTTCTTGTAATGCTGCGGCCCTCCTAAGTGCAGCATCTAGAATGTGTGGAGGTGTGCACTGCTAATCTGAACCCCAAGGCATTCCAGGTGCCCCTGAGCCGTACCTGCACTGCAGTGCACTACAAGCTATTCATGTGCCAGCCTCCCGGACCTTCTTCTTTCTGTGGCAATGTTCCAGCATCAGCTCACTTAGAGCAATGCTCAAAGGACTGCTGACCTAAGTAAGTGGGACTCCACAAAACTGTCATAATACAACCAAACCAGATCCAGCAAGGAGAAAAAGAGATCTCTTTCCCGCTTTCAGACAGGCCTGCACACAGCTAACAAGAGTGACTCATTTGTAAAAGAACATGTAAAAAAGCACAGAGGGGCACACGAGCAAGGACATGTAGAACAAAGACAGAGTGTAGGGCAGACAGTGCGTGTTGACACAAGAGAAGGCAGGCTTCACTGAGAAGGTGCTTCAAAAACTACAGGGGAGACCCAGCACGGTTTCTCAAAGACACAACCAGGCACATGCTTCAGGTGTGTTACATGCACATGACTGTGTCCAGGCACAGATGAAGCCTAGCCCAGGTAGCAAGCTCCGCCCCTCCCTTGCCCAGAATTCCTGGCCAGCAGTACTTCAGGGTGGTACACACAGGGAAATACACCAGAGAGGTGGCACCCAAGAGCTAAAACGCACAGGCTTCACTGGGGGCTCCCTGGAACACAGGACCTCCCCAGTGGGCCCCAGGTGGGTCTGAGAGTCTGTGTCCCCAAGGCCCAGGTTCTGCCCAAGCTGTTGGGCCACAGGCTACACTCACAGCAGCAAGGTTCCAGGGGACCAGGACATCACTGATACATTTTCAATGATCAAAAGGAGAAAAAGGGAAAAAGAAACCTAACAAGTGGGAGGACAGAACAGAAACGACCGATATGGCAAAGCGGTTTTTTAATAGGAAAAACTTAAAGATGCTCACACATCAGTGGGCAGGGGACTGATTAAACAAACAATGGTCCCTCACATGACAAAACACTACACAACGATTAAGAAAACAAGAGAGGTCTGTGGGAGTCACTGGAAAAAACTGCCAAGATACATCACTGGGAAGATAGCAAGTCAAAGCAGAGCAACAAAACACAGTAGTTATAAGAGAAAGTTATATATCATGCAAAAGATTATTTTTTTAAAAGCTCAGAAACATCCCAATTATTACCTATTTCTGGGGATGCGACGACAGGGTACACTCTCACCTAACACCTACCTATCATTTGAAGTTTGGGGGGCTTTGTTTACTTTAAAATAAACAGGTACAACTTTTGTAATCAGAATGAGGACGACGACGGTTTTGTTTTTATTTCAAGTATTTCCCGCAAGCCACATATGGGTTGTGTGGTTACCTAATTTGAACACGAACTTTCTATGGCTAATGTCACACAGAGAGAAAAGTTCCTCAATGGCCACACCCACCATATAGGACTTGACCGCTAGACTAGGGAGGAGTACCTATTTCTGGAAAACTCTTAGAACAATTAAACAAATCACCTGTGGGCAACAGGTGACTCCACACTGATCCCTGGGGTCACAGTTTCCCTTTCTAAGAGGTTGCACAAAACCAACTTAATGTCCTTTTTTGGTTGGTTACTGGACAGGGACACAGGAAGGTGAGGCAGGACAGCCAGGCATCCTACAACTAAGATGGAATGGTAAGAGATGTGTGGCTGCTGGAACAACCAGGCCCAAGAAGTTACTCCAGCCACTCATTGTGTCCAAGACGTTGAGAAGGGAATTCGATGAAGCCTCAAGTGCCTGTCATAGAGGCCACAGCACAGGGAGGGAGGTGGCTGACAGAACAGAGAGCAGAGCAGGACCACAAGAGCAGACTGGAAGTGGGCCCCAATTTCACTCTGTTCTTTTAACCTCTGTGCATCCCTTCAGGAATAGCAGAGTATAAATGGGGAAGGCTTTTCTTTGAAGCCACCCCTTAGATTAGAAAGGAAACTGCCAACTGCCCATATACTGATTGTGGTGGTGTTACTCGACTCTGCATTTGTCAAAACATTCACGAACTCATAGAACCGGGTGATTTGTACTACAGGTCAACTGTAAAGAGTCAATGACAGGACTTAGGCTGGAACACTGGCTTCACAGTGCTGCCCAGCCCACACTCACTCCTCTGGTACACCCAGCTACCCGCTGACCCTGGCCTGGTCAGACAATCCCTGCCATAGAGGTGTCCTGGAAGAGAACATGAAAGCAGGACACTCAGAAGCATAAGACTTATAAGCCACAGCGTGTGGGGAATAAGCATCACTCTATCGTCACCACTGTGACTGCTTCTGAATTTGAAATCTGCAGTTTCTCAGTACCTCTGAAAAGGCGGCACCCCAAATGCAACTCCATGGGTGGCACGGGCTGACACGAAACCCAAGGCTGCAGTCCCCTCCTGCTGTCCCCAGCCTTCCCAGAGCATGCTAACAGCTCCAGCTTCCACAGCTCCGCCACTGACTCCTGCCATTCTGCAGTAAGCCCTGATCCCAGGTCTGAGTTCCTGCTCAGCCCTGTCTCCGCCCTCTGGTGACCCTGCACACACACACTCAAATGTATCCCCATTTGAGACAAACTCAAAACTCACTAGAGTGGGCCGCAGCCGTGAGCCACCTAGACGGCCGTGTACTCTGGGCAGGGGCGAACCTCCCTGCTGCCTGGTCCCTCCACTTCCACTTGTCCCCGTATCTGTTCACCACCACAGCGCCTTCAGCAGGGAAATGCTGAGTGGCCTGGGGGCGGAGCCTCTATCTGGATGGAGCTGCTCCTTGCAGCAGCCACTCATGGGAGTCAGCACCCCACCTAACAACACTGCTATGCCAGCACCCTTCCCACTCTTCAGCATCTGGCCCACAGGAACCAACTGGAGCCTGGAAAACATTTTGCTGAAAATCCACGTACACTAGATCAACAGAAGGCAGGGATAACATGGGCAGGACTTGTTCTCTAGGAATTCACAGTACTTACCAACAATCCCTTTGTCTTCTCCAAAAGTATCCAAGCTGTTCTTCCTAGAATGTGGCTGGAGATCAAGCTCACTCTGCCATTCTAGTTATTTTCTCACCTACCTTCTCCATCCTTTGGAAACTGGGATGCTTACATGAGTCTTCGAGCATGTCTCCTACCCTGCAATTCCTCAGCAGTCTAACTGGAGCCTAAGTCATTTCGAGAAGCCGGACACTCCAGTACACCCTCACCCACCCGGGACTTCCATTCTCTCATCCCTAAGCTTCCTTTACCCTTGACCTTCTGTCCATTTCCTTACCTTACACAGAAACAAGGGGACTATCTTCTCCCTAAGTCTTACCATAGTGAAAGAGCTTGTCAGGGGCTTTCACCTCCCCAATCACTATAAAGTTCTGTGGCCTCTTCCACTGTGTCCTCAGCTTCCTTGCTGTTCTTCCTATCTTTCACATAAAATCTTGAGACATGGCCAGCACTCTCTCCTCGCCGTGGCTCACTTGCAGTCAGACTGACAAGTTCGTTGCTGAGACCCAGGCCCTGGGATCTTTTCCCTTTCAGTGTCAGACCGTAAATCACACCTCCGGAAACCCTCAAACTCCAGGGCCCACGTCCAACTCCTCCTCGCCTTCTCACTTTCTGACTCGTGAATCTGCAGACAGCCTGCTTGCAGATCACGTCTGTGATCAAACATTCTCTCCCTAAAAAGCTGTTTGCCCTTTTCAGCCACTTTCCAACTTTGACCCAGAATCCACGCTCACCTGACTGACTGACTTTTTTTTCCAAAAAACTGAAACCCAGACAGGTAGTCATTCTAATGCCTAATAAGAAAGGATGTCCAGATGACTAGAGGAGGAAGAACCCAACCCAAGAGTCCACACACTCACCCTGATAACCTCTGGAAGCCCACTGCCTGGGAGCAGTGTCTACTCCCAGGAAGTCAGGCCCGTTGATGAGAACCCCTGGGCGCAGGAGGCAGTAAAGCAGTGCTTTATCAGTTTAACCTTGCCCAACTAGCAACCGCCTTGGCCTCCCTGATCAAGACACTCAGTCTTGCCAAAAACAGAAAAAAAAATTCCACCAGAAACCCTCAGGCCACGTGGAGCACAATATGCTCCTGTACAGATCTATACCAAGGCAGGCCCTGGGACACGGGCAGTCTCAGCCCCTTCATGCCATGTCTGACTACTCTACTCAGGTCAGGACCCCAAACACAAAATGCCCCTATTCAATTGGTCCCTGCTAAGTTGACCTCCAAAGATCCTCTCCCAAAGTAGAGAAACACCTTGTTATTCACCTCATTCTACGTATAGAGCATAAGGTGGCACGCATTCACCCTAGGAGAACATGTGGCAAGTTACAGTAGGGCCAGAACACAGATCTTTACCCTTCCAGTCGCACCTCTCCCACACTCTGCACTGCCTCTGGATCAGGAGGAAAATCAGAGGCCTCTAGGGAAACTGTGTGGTTCCCCTAATACAGACAGGGTCTCTGGTTCAAGGCTACAGACTGAGGAGTCAAAGTCACAGGCTAGCCCAGGTCTCCCTTCACAGCCACTGGCCCCTCCGCCTTCTCCACTCACAAGGAGAGCAGCAAGGAAAAGCCAGCAATATAGAGGTTTCTCTGGGCACGGAAAAGCTTCATGTGGAAGTGTTCCACAGCCCCGGGATTGTTCTGGAGGTTCACCTTCTCTGTAACGTCATCATACTTCCAAATCTCACGTACAGCATCTGCAGCAGAGCAGAGACACATCATTTAGCTCCAGCTCGAAGAGACAGAGTCATCCAGGAGAGACAGGTGGTGTGAGCTGGGGTGGCCCTGCTTCCCTCAAATCCGTTTCACCAGTTGTCCTCCCTTCTACACACACCACCTTGGGGGTTGCCTTGTAAGAAGCTCTGCCCTCAGACCCAGTCTCTCCTCCAGCTTTTCTCCTGTCACTCCCAGACCACGAGTTTGCACTCCATGTCAGTGTGCTGAGTCTGAGACGTCACTGGCCATGGAGACAGCTGCCCTTTCTCATGGTGCCCCCAATGTCTAGTTCTGTTTATTGCCAAGTCAAATCAGCAACCAGCCACCCCACTGATAAGCCAGAGTAGTGTGGTTTATGGAAATGCCCACTAAGGAGGCATGAACTGGAGTGAAGACCCAGAGGATGCCTGCTAAAGAGTCAAAAGTTTTCGTTTCTAAGCTTTACAATGAAGTTTACCATTTAAACTGTTTTATTCCAATAAAAGAAGGAATTACAGTATAACCATATGATAGAACACTACAGTCTTTAAAAAGAACAAGATTGCTATAAAAAGATGCCTAAGATACAGTGAAAGTGGAAAAGGCATAATCCAAAACGGGATGGAGAACCTTAATAAAGATGCCATCATAGAAAATGCCTGTGGAAACATCCAACAAAATATTAGCAATTGTTATCTGTGAGACACCAAATAAAAGGGCACTTCAGCTTTCCAGGTTACAGTTCTGAATTTTAAAAAATGAGATGTTACTTTTGTGACTAATAAAACATGTATTTCTACACAGTCATCTGCATGCAGGAACCCCGCCACTCAAAGGATCACCTTGGCTGATGGCAAAGAGCAGACTGGGGAGGGAGACATTGGGCCATACTAGCCCATCACACAGCAGAGTGCTGGCCTCCCTATCTCAGGCCTCTGGCCCAGGGCAGTTGCCCCTGGACTGTCATCAAGCCCACTCCTTGGTCAGCTCTGCCCTAGGCCCTTCCCAGTGAAGCCAGGGCTGCAGCTCTAACAGGTTATGCCCATCACCTTTCACCAGTGTTTGCTGAAGTCTCTACAGACATCCCTAGCTCATAATTCTCACCATCCGGGTAGGAAGCAGCCAGTCAACACAGCCGGTGTCTCTCTAAAGCTTCCAAGTAATCCCTTGACCCCCTTAAAAGAATGGCACCTTTGCCAACTACTAGGTTCTGCATAGGGCCTCCCTGGCCCACTTAGCTGCACTAGGAAATGGGAAAGCTCATGGAATCTGGTCTGCAAGGGGAAAGACTGTTCCTCCCTGCCCCAATTCTCACTCCCCCACCACCCACCCAAAAGCAGAAGCACACATGCTCAGGTCCAAAACTGCAGCCTGGCTCTCTCATGCTCAGAGATGACATGCATATTCTCTCGCCCCTCTGGGCTCAGAGGCCACCTGGGGAGAACCCTGATTGGAAAGAGCTGCCTCTTGAGGCCTTGCTAAGTATTTCAAGAACAACAAGGCATGAAGGTAGCTGGTACCCACCCTACATGGCTGGGACTGGGCAAGCCAAACCTGCGCTGTTCAGGAGCAGCCCTGCCTGAACACACCCAGCACACTTGGAGAAACGCCTAACCTACAGCGAGTAGATGCAGCTGTGCACATGCCCCCTGAACTATGTCCCAGCCTCCCACCCACTGCCGTGTTTCTGCTGAGAACTTGGAGAGAGAGGCAGGCTGAGGCTAAGAAGGCATCATACCTGGAGACAGGACCACTATCTGTAGCAGAGCCAAACCAGTTACTTTGGAGTCCAAGCAGCGATAGTACTAATCACTTACTACAGCAACACACACGTTTAACAGCCACACAAAAGCTGTACTTATTCCTCTGGTCTCTAAACAATCACACTGCCACCACGTTGCAAAATGTCTGCCTTCCATCTCATCACAGCCTGGCCTGGGCCCCATCTGACTGTTCCCCAGGACCAATTTACCTTTCAAGCCCATGCTGGTACGCACCTCAGTGCAGGGTTTATAGAACTTCAGAGCTGGAAAGACCCAGAAACACCTGAAGTCTGACCCAGATCTAAAGAGGCTCGTGATATGCTGCCAGACATGCCACCACACCTCCCGGTCCCCCCAGTACTACAGGACACAGCAACTTCCTTCCCAGCTAGGCTCCCCATCTACTTGGTCATTCGGTCCCCATCCACAGCCTGTCTAAGTGACTGGAGAGCAGTGCTACTTAGACCAAGGCCAACATGAGCCAGTTAGCTTCTCTTTGTTTCAGTTGTGGAATAATCTGGGGAACTGCCCCAGAAATGATGTGAGGTGGCCACCAAAGGACACATAAAAGCTGTTGGTCAAAGTGAAGGCCCTGCCAGCAGTTGGCAGCACCCTCTTCGTGGATGAGGAAGCCTCTCCCCAAGAGAAAGACACAGGTGCTGAAGTGGTCTGTCTCTGAGAAGCCAAGCTGTACATCACATGAGGAACATAGCACAAGGGCGATGCAGCAGAGGCCACGCAAAGGTCTAGATCAGGTAGCTGCCCTCAGCCACAGCTCGCTCACCAATGACCAGCAGCACGAGAATGACGATGAGAACCACAAAGAAGGTATTGCCATAGGTCACTACCAACTCCACCAGGCGTGACTTGAAAATCTTCTGCCATCTGTGAAGACAAAAAGGATAGGGGCTGAAGAAAAAGGACACACACTTGGAACACGCATAGGGCCCCGAGAGGAGAAATCCAGGTTTGCACTCTTCTCCAATGGCCAAATATCCCATACAGACTCAGCCTCAGCTGTTGGCAGCTCTCCAATTTATCACATCCATTCAAGAATGTTAAAAAATAAAAGATGCCCATGTGTAGAAATTTCTAGAAAACTAGTTCTAAACACTAGCAGTCACTGGGGAGGGAAACAGGAAACTTTTCATTGCCTTCCCCTATGTAGTATTCTCAAAATTGCCACGTACACATTACTTCCTTAAAGTGTTTCTCCACGTGACCTATCTGGTTCACCCAGACGCCCGCCACCCTCGATTATTATGAAGCAGGCCCTAGACTTGTTCATTTCCCTCTGTAAATATTTCAGGATGTACCTCTATCAGAGACGAGCGATTGGAAATGTTAATGTAATCATAACGCCATCAACAGACCTCCAGAAAATCAACTAGAACCCTTCATTATCAGAACCAGAGTCCCAAAGTCCAAACTGTCACATTTTTTTTGATAGTTGGTTTGTTTGAATCTGGACCAACAAGGTTCTGACTCTTCATTTAGCTGAGAAGTATCTTAAATCTCTCTTACTCTATAAGCTCCCTCTTGCCTCACCGTCCTTGGTTTTCTTTCCCAATTACTTTTTGCAGAAACCAGGTTGTCTGTCCTACAAAACTTCCCAGATTACAGCTCTAAGGGGACCCTGTCTTTGTATTTCCTCTGAAGTGTATGCTGTGTGAACAGATTCAGATCGGGCTTTTGGCAAGAATATTAAGCTGTGCTGTATACTTCCTATTGCATCACATCAGAGATCTTGTATTTTTCATTAGAAAACAGTTTCTTAAAATATTGTGGAGACTTAGCCTTATTTGTAGCTTTCTAATTTAAGTTAGAATAATGTGTTCATATATTGTATGCAATTGAAAATTAATTTCCAGCTAATTCTGAACAGATCCTCTGTTCACTGAAAGGAAATATGGCTTCATCCTTCACAGGCTGAGTAATGCTCATGAGGCTACTACACAATACCAGCAAGACTAGTTAGGAAGACAGACATCACCAAACTAGCAACATTGTGACCCTGTAGTGCGAGTTGTCCAGAAACTACATTGCCATCCCCCAAACCCTAGGGACGCAAGGGGAGGCAGGAAGGCATCATTTCCAGATCCCTAACTGGCTATAGGTCTTCTCCCCTTGGGACATGGTGAAGACCAAAGGCAGGGTGCACAGGAAAGGAACTCAGCAAGAGGTGACAAAGCAGAACTGTGTGGAAGGTTGGCAATAGTTAACACAGCCCCTGTCACCCCAACAGGTTCCACCTGTTTCCGTCTGGCCCCACTTCCAGGATCCACCAACTCTGCAAGCATAAGCTACAGAGGTGGACAATAGCCGCTCTCCCCCTTACTTGCCTGCTTGCTCCACAGGCCCTACCTTTTAGGAGAAATGAAGGGAATGCAGAGCAGCAGCACAGCAAAGACCTCTGCATAGAGAAAAGTGGCAACCGCCGTCCACTGCAGACTCATTCTGTTGCTAGATGGTTTCCAACGAGGAGATGCGAGCTTGTTTCCTGACAGGGCACAGAATAAACAGGAGAAGTCATGGGAGCTGGGCAGCCACTCTTCACACTCTACCCCAGCACTTCACTCCAGAGTCTTTAAAGCACTGGCCAAAGTGGGGCTCGACTCTGCAGAGATCCTTGGCCAATAGTGCTCAAAGGCCCGACAAACTTCTGTTTGCCTGGATGGAATTACTTGTACGTTAATTATGTCCAGAGCCTCCTTTCCAGACAATTTCTTTCCCAGCGGAGTCCAAGAGACTCCTTATGACTGACTGTTCAACTGGGAAAGCGCTTTTACTGAAGATTAACTACACTGACGAATGGAACTTCTCCGCATCCATCAGGCCTGCTCCGAGCCAAGCGGAGCTCTGGCGCAGAGGCTCCCAACCCCCAGCCAAACCTAGGAAACAGCGTTTCGGTAACACACTTTCTCCAAAAGCCATGACGCTCCCCACCCCAGCCTCGTGGAAAACAGGCCCTTCCCTCCCCAGCGCTTCCAATGAGTCTGAAAAGAACCGGCAGCCTCCCTTCGGGGCTAGAGCCGGGGGTTAAAAAAGGTATTTCGACTGCCGCATCAGCCTCCAATGGGGCGGGAGGACTTCCAAAAAGCCCACAAGGGCGACTCCTAGAGGGCGGGAGTCGGGGCCAAGAGAAAATGCAGGTCTCCACTAAGCGCCTCATGGCCCCAGAAAGTTCTAGAAGAAACTGTCTCCCCGGAAGCCAGAAGAGCCCCCTCCCGGCAGCCGTGGTCAACCCACCTCGCACAAGCGGCCCTCGCGCTCAGACGGGTCGGCCCCGAGCCGGGGCCTAGCCTGGCACGCCCTCCCCGGCTCAAGCCCCACCCCGGCGGCCCCTCCGGAGGGGCTTTGCCACCGACCCCGCCCCCGCCCGCGCCTCCCAGGAGACCAGCTCCAGCCACCGCCCCCCGACTTCCTCCGCCCGGTCCTGCCCCGCGCCCCTGGCCTCTTCGCACTGCCCACCGCTGCCCCTCGTCAGGGTCCCGGGGAACCCTGGCTGCCCCGGAGCCCAGCCGAGCACGCGAGCCCACTCACCGAGCTTCCCACAGCCACTGCGCACGCCCCGCAGCCGCCGCCACCAAACTCTCCCACCACAGCCCTAGTCCCGCCCCTTCCCCCACGGCCGGAAACCGGAAGCACCCTCCGGACCCCGCCCTGCTCCCAGCTGCAGCGAGGCCCGGGCGGCTCCTCCCACGGCCGCTCTCCGCCCCGCCCCCGAGCCGAGGCTCAGACGCCCAGAACTAGGGAAGCGGCGAAACCTCGAGGCCCGGCGTCGGCTCCTCGAGAGCGCGGGGAGGTGGGGCGGAGCTTTAGCGGGAAGGACAGAGGCCGCTTCTCTAACCCGCGCGGTCATCCCACGTCTCTGTGGTCTGGGGAGGGAGCGGAGCCCAGCCGTGGGGCGACGACGGGGCGGGGCTCCCCGCATCCTGACTCCGCCTTCCTCCCCTTGTCGGCCTCTTCCCCTTCCCCCGACTCGCCCCTGCGGAGGAGTGGGTGGGTGGGGATTCTGGGCGAGAGGCGGAGTCACTGTTGCTTCGGCTGGGCGGCGCAGCGGACGGAGGATCCTGGAGCCCCGGGGAGGGGCGCCACCAGGGAAGGAGGAGGAGGTGGAAAGGAGGAGACGCCCTCTCCGCCCGAGAACTCTCGAGGCTCTGACCCCAGAGGCTAGGAGACTGACAAGTTCCTCTACCTCGGCTTCCTGAAGAGGCCGCGACCCTGGAGGGCCCTGAGCCCACCGCGCCAGGGGCCCCAGCACCGCCCCGGTGGCCTAAAGCCGCAGATTCAGGGACCACTGAAAGGTTTCCAGTTGCCTAGACTACGAGCCCGGGGTTAGAGCAACAACCCTTCCAGCCACCTGCCTCGATTCCTGCCTCAGGCAACCAGTCCCAACCCTGTGCGTCCAGCCCAGGTGACATGCCGGTGCTTTCCACCCCCCGGCCCTCGCGGGTGACCACTCTGAAGCGCTCAGCTGTGGTCCTGGCACTTGCGGCCTATGGAGTTCACAAAATCTACCCCCTGGTGCGGCAATGCCTGACTCCAGGCAGGGGCCCTCAGGGGCCAGCAGGGGAATCCACGCAGGAGGTCTCCGGGGCCACAGTGGTCAAGGCCGGTGTGAACCAGGTGTTCTTGCAGAGGCTCTTGTGGCTCCTGCGGCTGCTTTTCCCCAGGATCCTGTGCCGGGAGACTGGCCTGCTGGCGCTGCACTCAGCTACCCTGGTGAGCAGGACTTTCTTGTCAGTATATGTGGCCCGCCTGGATGGACGGCTGGCCCGCTGCATCGTGCGCAGGGACCCTCGGGCCTTTGGCTGGCAGCTCCTGCAGTGGCTTCTCATTGCCCTCCCTGCCACTTTCATCAACAGTGCCATCCGGTACCTAGAGGGCCAGCTGGCTCTGTCTTTCCGCAGCCGTCTAGTGTCCCATGCCTACAGCCTCTACTTCTCCCAGCAGACTTACTACAGAGTCAGCAACATGGACGGGCGGCTTCGCAATCCTGACCAGTCCCTGACAGAGGATTTGGTGGCCTTTGCTGCCTCTGTGGCGCACCTCTACTCCAACCTGACTAAGCCACTCCTGGACGTGGCTGTGACTGCCTACACTCTGCTTCGAGCAGCACGCTCTCGCGGGGCTGGCACAGCCTGGCCATCAGCCATTGCTGGCCTCGTCGTGTTCCTTACAGCCAACGTGCTGCGAGCCTTCTCGCCCAAGTTTGGGGAGCTGGTGGCAGAGGAGGCACGGCGGAAAGGGGAGCTGCGCTACATGCACTCGCGTGTGGTGGCCAACTCAGAGGAGATTGCCTTCTATGGGGGCCACGAGGTGGGGCAGGTTGGGGTGCTGGGCAAGGAGGAAAGCGTGTGGCTGGGAGGTCAGGGGCAGGCAGCAGTGAAGGTGGCGGGGGAGTCCAGGGCTGTTTGGGGCTGATGCCAGAGGTGTGGGCAAGCCAGAGGAGAGGGAGGCTGGAGACGTCTTGAGCAGCCCACACTGAGGCTCAGGAATGGAGAAGCAGCGAGGCCGGGCGGGGGCTGCCCTGAGCTGGCTGCTTGTGTGCTCTAGGCCACTTCTGCTTCCTCTCCTTGGTGAGGTTGTCCTGGCCTTGGAGCTGCATGTCCTGGTGGCTTGACACACTAGAACTTCAGGCTCGCCCCATTACTGCAGCCAGGTGGGAGAAGGCTCCTGCCATCTGGGACTAGGGACAGTGAGACGCAGCTGGCTGCCTGGGCCCCTGGGACCCTTTGAAGGCCAGCGTCCTCTGAGCTGGCTGGCCAGGTGGCCTGGCATTATGGACATGACTCAACCCAAGCGGAGGTTAACAAGCAGCACCCAGCATGGTGGCCACAGCAGTGGGTCACTTAGCCTTTTGGATGAAGGCCTCTCCCACCTAAGCCTGTGGGCCAACCTGGCCCGAAGGCTTAGCCACCTCCCCAGGCCCCAGGCCAGGAATGCCTGGGCGGGGTCTGCCAGCGGGATGCACTTCCTGGCCGCCCTTCCTCTTGGGTCCCACACGCAGCTCCCCAGCAAGCAGGCAGTGGGGCAGGCAGGCAGGGAGACTGGGAGGCTGGCTAGCTAGCTGGGGCCAGGCCCAGGGCTGAGGCTGGGAGCCTGGTGCTAGGAAAGGTTACTCCAGGCCAGTGCTCCCTTGATCTCGCCTTGGCCCCTCCCTTTCTTCTGCCTGGGGTTGCAGCAGCCTCCAGCCCTGCTCTCTGTGACTCCAGTTTCGGTTCTGAGTGCTTCTCCAGGGAGGGGTGCAATGGCATCCACCTCCTGAAGGCCTGTGTATCCTCCCTGGGTCAGGTGGCCTCTTGTCCCTGGACCTTGTCTCATTGGCTGCATGGTGGGTGGAGTGGCAGGCTTGTCCCTGATTTTTAAGAAAGGCTCTCTCTAAACTGCAGAGAGGGGGCATCCTGGCGTGGGCCAGGCTTCAGATTAGAAAAGTGCTTGGTCTGCAGCCACAGTCCCTTCTCCTCTCCCGCACGACAAGCCGCAGGGCTTTGGCAGGCAGCAGTGGCCTTGGGCGAGGCGCCTGGCACGTTACCCACAGCTACATTGTCAGCCTCGGCTGGCACTGCTGCCAGTTCCCAGCACGAGCCTGAATTGCCAGGGTGCTCAGAAGAGGCGTGCTCAGTTCAGGACCGGGGACTGGGCTTGAAGGCAAAGCCAAGCAATGTAGGAGACCTGGATGTGGCAGCAGGAGGGAGATCACTGGCTCTTTGAAGGGCTTACTCTGGGCTAGAGTCAGGAAATTGCACGCTTGCCAGGAGGATCCACAGCCGAGGGTGGGAGGACCCCAGTGTGCATCCACAGCCTCTCTAGGCCTTGGCCAAAGGGCTAGAAAGCTGAGTCGGGTGGCAGTCCTCCATGCGTTGGTTGATTGCCCTTATTTTGCAGGTAGATGTGTGGCTCATCCCAGTCCCATTGGCTGATGTCCCCATGGACACCGGCCCAGGCTCAATCAACAGGTCAGGGCAGAGGTGACTGGCTGGAGGGCAGACAAGAGGGTATTCTTACTGAGGTTTCAGTTCAGAGGCTGATTTAGACACATGCACTCCCACACACACACGCACACAGCCTCCTTTTTGCTTGAGAACAAGGTAAACGTTTCTTAATGGGGCAAAGCATCATTTACAAGAATATGGTTTGCCTAGTGGCTCTGCTGGTATGGTCCAAATTGCACACTTCTTCCACGCTCAGGTTGTGTGAGCTCGGGCAGGCCACTTTGCCTCTCTGGGCTTCGGTGGCCTGCTGTACAAGCGGACATAGAGTACACATGCGTATGCTGAGAATCAAACGGACAGTCAGGGGTGAGAGCATGTAGCAAAGGGAACAGTGCCAAGCTGGGCAGTTGTCTTTAGTCAGGGGTGGGAAGGCAGGGCTGGGGCACTCACCCCTACACTGACCCAAGAAATCCATGACCCAGTGGCCACCTTGCCATGACCACTCCTGACACCTCCCTTTCCCACCAGTCGCCGTCCTGAGATGGCAGGTGGTGGCCAGTGCAGTAATGGGGAGAGGAGGCACACCCCACTGTTGAGCTGGTAGGCTTGAGTCATCAACTGGGCCAAGGTGCACGGCTGACCATCAGGGGCAAGGTCTGTGGGGCCTGGCCCGGAAGTGGGCACTCCAGGTTTGGGTGGGAGCAGGTGGTCCAAGTTTGTTACCCAGAGGAACTGTGGGAAGGTAGGAGCAGGCAGGTCCTAAGTAGGTAGACACTGTTGAACCATGTTCTTCAAGACCAAGTAGAGCCTTTTAGTTTCCTGTGCTGCCCTCTGCTTAGTTCAGGGTAGCCCCCCAGCAGTTGCCCAAAGAAGTGGGCAAGGTGGTTGCCCTTGGCCCATGTCCAAAAGCTGCACAGGGTAGAGAGGGGCGTGGTAGAAGGGTAGTGGAAAGGGGATGGGAATGGGCTTGGAAGGTGGAGGGATGCTTCCCTTCTTCGCTGATGCTCTACCTTGGTACTGTGACATCAGACAGTCCACAGCACCCCCCGTCCCAAGTTGGAGAACTGGCCACTGTCAATATGGCCAGGTAGTAACCCCTAGCTCTGAACCTTATCCTGCCATCAAATGGTGTGCCTTGCTGGGGACCCTGGCTGTTGCCCAAGGGTAGTTAGCCTGAGGCCTGTCGGTCTCTCTGTCACGCCCACCCCCCTGCAGGTGGAACTGGCCCTGCTGCGGCACTCCTACCAGGACCTGGCCTCGCAGATCAATCTCATCCTGCTGGAGCGCCTGTGGTACATCATGCTGGAGCAGTTCCTCATGAAGTATGTATGGAGCGCCTCGGGCCTGCTCATGGTGGCCGTCCCCATAATCACCGCCACAGGCTACTCAGAGTCAGGTGAGAGCCAGGGGGCAGGGGCAGGAGACCCTGTCCTCCTGGACCACTGGGTGCTCAACCAGCCCACCTGCTACTTCTGCTGGGTCCAGAATGTCACCAGAGGTCACAATCCCCCTAGCTCCTGGTTGCCTTCTGCCCTGCATGGTCTCCCCTTTGCAGTGTCTCACACTCCTTGGTACTGCTCAGCCAAGCCTGGGGACTACAACTCAGGAATGCCCTGTATCCCCTCCCCGGGTGCATGCACCCTTGCCCACCTGTCCCTGTTCTCTGCCCAGCTGTGACTTGGAGGGAGAGGACAGGGTCTTGGGTTTCCCGTGCCCCACGCAGCTCTTGCAGCCTGCAGACAGTGGGGTCCTCCATCCTAGGGCCGCGAGAGGGAGCAGGTAGACACACTGCAGCGATGGGGCTTAAGGATTCCCATTTTGTTCTTCCACTGGTTTACAGCATCTTCATTCTGTTAGCAGTCTCTTAGATTTAACACTTACTTGAGAATAGTCTTGATTAGTCAACAGCTGCTCCTAACTGGAGGACCAGTGTCCAGTGTAGCCCCCTGGCTGGCTGTAGTCATGTTCGCTGGTGGCTTTCCTTAGCAGCCCTCACCCGCCGGCCGGACCCCCCTCAGTTCTTTCTGCAGGGCTTTCGTCATGGCAACTTTGAGATGATTTTGTTGTCTGAAAACGTCTTCCTTTTACCTTTTTTCCCAAACTAAAGTTTAGTTGGGTGGGGGGTCGAGGCAGACAGTTATTTTCTCTCAGCCCGTTGACAGTACTCCATCGCCGCTGTTTCCTCCTTGCTGTGTCCCCAGTGCTTGGTGGCCAGTGGGGGCTTTCAGATGTTTCAAGGAGGCTGAGGGTGCTGGCAGCTGGTGGGAAGAGGCAGGCACTTAGCAGCTGGGGAAGATTTAGATACCTTTGCCTTTCTGGTGCAAAGCTGGTGCTGCAAGGCAGGAGGATCCAGCTGCCTGCTGTCCTGTCCTGCTCCAGGGCCCTGGTCTTAGCCACTCAAGGCTCCGAAGGAACCTGAAGAGGCCAGTAAGTTTTGTCTCCAAGGAGGTGCCAGCTATTGTCAGGATGCCTTGGGCTCCTGCAGACTCTTACCCTTGAAGCTCAGTCGCTGTCTAGCTCTTGGGAGATCCAGGGAGGAGGGCCACGTCCCTGGGGACATGATGGGAAGGAAGGCCCAGGACCTCAGACTGTCAGGATTCATATCCCTACATCCCTGACCTCGTTCCCTGGAATTTGGGGCCAGGCCTCAAAGGCTGTGCAAGGCACTCTAGCCATTCCTCATGACCCTTTTCCCACTCCACACCGCACCCCGCACTGCTCTGGAGGCCGTCTGCCCTGAGCCAGCTTCCTGCCCCTCCACCCCCAACCCCCTCCCACACCCCCATCACATCCCAGAGGCTCCCACCTGGGATGGACATGTGCCCCTGGATAGAACCCTTGGGTTCTTCACAGAGCCTTCCTACCCCCCACTGCAGTGCCCAGGAGCCCTGACCCGCCCACACCCCAGGATCCTCAGAGTCCCCACTGGCATTTCCAGAACATTCCTTGTGTAAAAGCCCTGCCCTTCTGGGGACTCCAAAGGTCAAGACAATTGAGACCATTGACAAGGGAGGGTTGAAATGAGCAACCACGGGGTCTAGATGGAGACAGAAAAGCCAGTCAAGACAGGAGCAAGCTCCCTGGTAGAAACAGAGGTGTTGAGCATGGCCATTCTCACTGACTGGAGAGAGGAAACACAGACTAATGGCATCAAGGCGGGAAGGGAAGGAGAAATGGGGGTAGCACTGGAGGTCTGAAAGGGGATAGTCACGTTTGAGAGGTTTGGGGGTGCAATATCTCTGGCTATTGGATGGTGAGGTGCAGGTATAGCCCAGAAAGGGGATGCCATCAATAATGCAGGGCACGGCTCAGGGGCAGTTTAGGGGGAAGGAGCTGCTGTTGTCAAGAAAGCAAGCCTTTAAATGCCTACTGGTTTATTATATTATCTGAGGTAGGAGGTGTAATTGATGTACTGTCCAATTCAGCTTTTTAAGTGCACGATTCAGTGGTTTTAATATAGTCACAAGGTTATGCAACTGTTACCATGATCTAAGTCCGGAACACTGTCATCAACCAGAGAGAAACTCAGACCATTAGCAGTAACTCCCTGCCCCAGCCCCCAGCCCTGGGCACCCATTGATCTTTCTGTTGCTATGGATTTGCCATTTCATAAAAATGGAATCACACAATATGTGGCCTTTTGTGTCTGGCTGCTTTCGCTCAGCATATTTTCAAGGCGCCACCACTTTGAACCTTGATGAGTCAGTACTGCATTCTTTTTTAAGGTTGAATACTATTCCAGTGTATATATGTACCACAATTTCTTTGTCCATTCATCTGTCGATGGACATTCAGGTTGTTTCCACCTTTTGGCTATTATGATCACCTGTGTGCAAGTGTTTGCAGGGGCGTATACTTCTGTTTCTCTTAGCTATATACCTGGGAGTAGAATTGCCGGCTCCTATGTGAACTCTCTGTTTAGCTTCTTGAGGGACTGCCAGACTGCTCTCCACAGTGGCTGCCCACTTTATGTTCCCCCCAGCAGTGTATGGGGTTCCACTTTCCCCACTTCCTCACCAATACTCGTTATTATCTCTTTTTAATTATAGCTACCCTCGTGGGATCTCATTGAGATTTTGATTTGTATTTCTCAGGTGACTAATAACAGTGAATATCTTTTCATATACTTATTGGCCATTTGTAGATCTCAGATATCCAATAGAGATGTCTATTCGGATCCTTTGCCCATTGTTTCACTGGGTTGTTTATGTCTTTGCTGTTGAATTGGGAAAGTTCTTTATATTCCGGATATCAAATGCTTACCAGATACATGATTTGCAGACATTTTCTCCCAGGTTGTAGGTTGTCCTTTTACTTTCTCAATGGTTTCTTTTGGTGTGCCTGGGTTTTTAATTTTAATGAAGCTCATTTATCTGGTTTCCTTTTGTTGCCTATGCTTTTGGTGTCATATTAAGGAGCCATACCTAATCCCAGGTCACAAAAATTCACCCCAGCTTTCTTCTAAGAGTTTAGCAGTCTTAGCTCTTCTATGCAGCCAGTGTTCCACTTTGAGTTAGTGTGTGTGATGGGACGTAGGGGCCATTCTGTTGTATGTGTACCCAGCGCCATTTGCTAGAGAAACGTGTCTTTCCCACAGTGGGTCAGCTGTGATTTCGCACTTTGTCCACCTGCAGATTCTGAGGCAGTGAAGAAGGCAGCGCTGGAGATGCGGGAGGAGGAGCTGGTGAGCGAGCGCACGGAAGCCTTCACCATTGCCCGCAATCTCCTCACGGCTGCTGCAGACGCTATTGAGCGGATCATGTCATCCTACAAGGAGGTGTGGCCCCTCGTCTGGCCCCTGCCCCTGGCAGACCACCCCCAGCTCACCCCTAGCTAGCAGGGGCTGAGCCAGGACCACCCTCCCCACAGGTGACAGAGCTGGCTGGGTACACAGCCCGGGTACACGAGATGTTCCAGGTATTTGAAGATGTCCAGCACTGCCATTTCAAGAGGCCTGGGGAGCCAGAGGATGCTCCAGCGGGCTCTGGGGCCACGGTGAGGTCTGGTGTCCATCTGGAGGGGCCCCTGCAGGTCCGAGGTAAGGGCAGGGTCTTTGAGCTGGGCCCCGGCGAGAGCTCCCTAGGGGATTGGGACTCCCCCAGCCTTCCCTCCCAGAGAGTCACTGCTGTCCAACTCCTCACTCACTCACCCAGGTCCTTCCAGTGTTCTGGCTGGGAGTTCTCTTTGCCAAAGAGGGGACTGTGAGCCCTGGGTGGAGGGGCTCACTTGCCCATGTGGGCAGCAGGAGGAAGGGCAAGACTACAGATGGGTCTGGGGTGCTGTGGGAGAGGGCCCCTAGTGTCTGAGCAGCCATCGAGGTGGTGCCAGGAGTGGAGGGCCGCAGAGCAGGAGTGGACTTCGTGCCTCAGGTTCCAGAGGCCAGAGAAACAGTTTTGCCCCTCTGCAGCCAGAGCACAGCAGCCGATGCTGATGGGGAGTCATCTTGTAGGAAGACCTCCTATACTCCCAGGGGGCCCCAGACCACAGTGACATGCTCTTGGGGGCGGGAGGACGTGCAGAACTCACCAGAAGGCAGAGGGACGGCCACTGCTCCCTCCCTTCCTTCCTCGCCTTCTCTCTCCAGGCCAAGTAGTGGATGTGGAGCAGGGGATTATTTGTGAGAACATCCCCATCATCACGCCCACAGGAGAGGTGGTGGTGGCCAGCCTCAATATCAGGGTAGGTTGAGTGGGCCAGGGAGGGGCACCTGACGCAGAAGTGCAGGGTGGGCTGGCCTGAGCTGGACTGAGCCGTGGGGCTCAGGGCCTGGCCTGCTGTATCGGCAAGCTTCAGCCCTCCTATGTGGTTATTAGCTATTGTCCCCAGATCTGTGTGGCAGGCGGCCTAAGGTCAAGGTGAAAGACCAACGTGTCACTGACTGTTAGTCCTGGGGCAGTGGAGTCAGAGCTGATAAAAGACTAGCGATTAGCAGGGTTGGCCAAGGGTCACCCACGGGTTCCTGGCCTTAAAGTTTCCAGGAAGCCCAGGCCTTGGGAACTCTGGTTTAGCTCCACTGACCTGGGCTTAGGGCCCCTCCGCTGAGAAGTTCCCAGTGCAGGTGTGGGTGCTGGGCACAGCCTGGCCCACTGGGAGGGCTCTCAGCCACTACACAGACTCTCTGGGGAGAGGAAGTCCTGGTGGCCAACATCCGACAGCCACTTATACCTCCAGCCAGGGCTTTGGACAGGGTCAGGAAGAGATGGGGTAAACGGGAGACCTGGGGATAGGATGGCAGGGGAAGAAGTGAGAGTCATTCATTCATTCATTCAGCCAGCCAGTATTCCCTGAACTCCAGGGACTGGGCACTGGGAACCAGAGGTAAATCAGGCCGAGCCCTAAAGGACCACAAAGCAAAGAACTCAAACAGAAGTGTCTGTCCCACAAGTCCCGATCAGGGTGCCTTCTGAGGGTGCTAAGGGGCAATCTGTCCCAGGCCTTCCCCAGCTTCTTGTGCATTACTGGCCACTGTTGGCGTCCCTTGGCTCCTAGAAGCCTTGCTTTGATCTCTGCCTTCGTCTTCACTGGGCATTCTCCTTGTGTACATGTCCGGGTCCAAACGTCCCCTTTTTATAAGAACACCAGTCATATTGGATTAGGGGCCCAGCCCACTCCAGAACGACCTCATCTAAATGTAACTAATTGCATCTGCAAAACCTCTATTTCCAAATACGATGAAACTCTGTGGTCCAGGGGTTAGGGCTCCAGCATGTGACCCTGGGGGGCACAGGTCAGCCCATAGCACTGACCGAGGGAAGCTGGGAGAACAGTAGCATTGCTATCATGTCACACGTTGAGACAGGTGTCCTTAGCATGGTACTGGTGGGTTAGGAGTGCAGAAGCTGCGCCCCAAGTGTCTGGATTCCGTGCCCCATATTCTCCCCCACCCCCTGAGGATGGCAGTCTCCCTGCCCTCTGACCCCCTCCTTCCTGCACACTGACTCCAAGCTCAGGCCAGCCTTTTCCCTCCAGCAGCTGGGCATCATGTGATCAGCTAACTGGGAAGCCTGAGGCCCCTGACGCTGAGCCCAGGAATCCCAGCGGCATCTCCATGGCCTGCTGGCACCCATGGAGGCAATGAGAGGGCCGTGGGGAGTGGGGAAGTAACCAGACTTCGGGGGTTTGTACTATCCAGCTAAGGCCCTGAAGACAGCGAGTGCCTTTCCTGGGGCAGTTCCTATGGAAAAGCAACTGTGCCAGAGAGGCCAGCATGCTTGGACTCCCAGTGAAGTGGGTGGCATGGGATGGAGGGTTGGCACTGACTTCCTGGGGCAAGCAGCCATTCATTTGGCCGTGGCAGCATAGGCCTTTCTTGTGCTGGTCCCATGTTCTCTGGCATGTATTGGGGCTCTAGAGGATAGGCAGAGGCCCCAAACAGGAGTTAAGTGAGGGCTCTGGATGCTGGACCTTATGCCCCAGGCCCTGCCATCCCTTAACCAGGAGAGTGCGAATGGCCTCGCCGCAGGCCTCAGCATGTACCTGGGTGCAGGCCCAGGTGAGAGGAGGGAGGCCCCGCCCCCCAGGCCCGGGCCCCACAGCTGCCGGCCCCACAGGTAGAAGAAGGCATGCACCTGCTCATCACGGGCCCCAATGGCTGCGGCAAGAGTTCTCTGTTCCGGATCCTTGGCGGGCTCTGGCCCACTTACGGTGGTGTGCTATACAAGCCCCCACCCCATCGCATGTTCTACATCCCTCAGAGGTGAGTGCGAGCCATCAGGGCACCTGCCCAGCATACCACGGCTGTGAGGGAAAGAACCAGGCCCCCAGCTCTACCCCTGCCCCATCCAAGCTGGGCGATCCGACACCCAGGGGAGGGCAGAGTTTGGGACTTCAGGAGAGGACAAGATGCTGTCCTCTGAGTCGAGGGGTTGTGGTGCCTCCACCTGCCACCCCACCCCACCCTGCTCACCTGGCAGTTTCATAACTGTGTGGTGTGTGTACAAGAGGGGTGTGTGCATGCCAGGGGTGGGAGGAAGGAGTGTGTGTGGTATGTGTCCATGCACGTGTGTACATGCATGGGTGTGTAGGTATGTGTGAGCATGTGAGCAAGGGTGCTGTGAGGTATGCATGTGTGCCCGTGTGCTGTGCTCAGTACGTGGTGTGCACGCATGGGGGCAGGTGTGAGCACTGCCTGGCGTGCCTGTGATGGGTCTCCAGCAGCCAGGACCCAGACAGAGCCCACTCAGGCATAGGGCACCGGCAGCCGGGCTGGCCCTTCCTTCAGTGGCACGTGGCCTTCCCACAGGCCCTACATGTCCGTGGGCTCCTTGCGTGACCAAGTGATCTACCCAGACTCTGTGGACGACATGCGAAGGAAGGGCTATTCGGAGCAGCACCTGGAAGCCATTCTGGACATCGTGCACCTTAACCACATCCTGCAGCGGGAAGGAGGTAGGAGCCGGCCAGTCGGCGGCGGCCCTTTGTCCCAAGACTCAGCCCAGGGAACCTGCTGCCACTCCTGCCCCTGCTTCCCTCTTGGCCCCCTAGGGATGAAGAGTACCCCCCTGTCCAGGAGTCCACAGTGCCAGGTGCCCCAGAGAGCCCTGCCTCCCGGTGAGGACCAGGTGACCTGAGTGCACTAGGCAAGGGAGGCCAGGTGTGGCAGGGGTGTTCATGGGAGCGCTCACCATTAGGGACCAGGGAGCCCTCCCTGGGCTCTGGGACTCAGGCGCTGGAGTGCCCTGAGAGCCAGGCCTGGAGCCCTCGGAAGGCTGCAGGCAGGGACGTGACAGGTCAGTTGCACATTTCAGCAAGAGGACAGACAGTGGGCATGAGCGGGGCCGCTGGGGGCGGGCAGTGAGCGCAGGGCGCCTGTGCAGAGGGCGGGGCAGAGGCAGAGGCAGAAGGAGTGTGTGCGTTTCTGGCTTGTGCCTGGGAAGGAGACGGAAGGAGGGAGGGACTGGCTGGTGGCAAGAGAAAGTGGTGGTGCGAGGCTGATCAGAGTCGCCTGCAAGTGCCCGCTGCGCCCGCCCCGAGGGAAGGAGGAGAGGGCGGGCCTGCTGCAGGGAGGGACCAAGGGCAGGGCGGGACTCAGATTTTCCTGCTGAAATCTGAGCAGCAGGATTCCACTTCCTGCTTAGGCCCCATGGAGGCAACTTGGCTAGAGCAAAGACCTCACCTCTTGAGATGCTCTGCGTCTGTCAAAGGGGTTGGGTACCACTCCCTTCCTCAGTGCCAGCATTAAACAAAACATCTCCTATGAGGAGCCATAGGGGGATTTCAGGAAATGGCAGGTGATCCACGAGGTTTCTCCCCAGGTGCTGTCACCTGCATCAGAAAGGGGCCGCAGGTGCTGGATTCGGTGGCAGACCCTCCTGGGACCACCTACTTGCCATGGTCATTGTGGAGCTTCACCCCCAGCTTGCCCCTGGCCACCCTCAGCCTCGGAGTGTACCCTTCTACTCCCCTCCATGGCACCAAGTGCCCAGGGCCCCTGAGGCCAACCATCTCCACCCCCTGGCATTGAGTTCAGCTGTACCAGAACCAACCCCATAACAACAGTCTATCTTACTGTGTAATCAATCCTTCACCAGTTTTTCTTACTGTGACATAACAATCCTGAGGAAGGCAGGCCACGGGTGGTGGGTGCAGTCCTGCTCTCTGAAGGCCCCCTGCTTTCTCCGCTATGTGTGGCCTCTGTCTGCCAGTCACCTCATAGTCCCAAGATGGCTGCTTCAGCAATCACATCACATCCCAGGCCATAGGATGAAGGAAGTAGGGGGAGAGTGGGGCAAAGGGTGCACACCATCTGTCTTTTTAGGAAAGTTCCAGAAGCTGCTACATAACAGTTACACTTATACCCCATTGGCCAGAATTCAGTCACATGGTCACACCTCACCTCAAGGTCAGCCAGAGGGTGTGGGCTTTTTTTGTGCGTGGCCACATGCCCTGCCAAAATTTTTAGTCCCATGGGAAGGCAGAGAGGTGACAGGCGAGGCACCATTTCTGCTCATCCAGGCAGCCCACCTGAGCCTTGCCGAGGTGCTGGCATGAGGCACTGACACAAAGGCCTGGTGCCTGCTGGTGAGAAGCCTCCTGGAGAGACCAGTCCAGCCAGCAGGGGGCCTCAGCCCTGACCATCTGCTGCCCAAGGATGGAAGCGTTGGCTGGGCTCTTTGTTAACAGTGTTAGGTCCTGTGTGGGGCTGCTGGGGCTGCTGTAAGGAGGCACCACAGGCTGGGCAGCTCGCACAGCAGAAATGCATGTGTCCCAGTCCCGAGGCCAGAAGTCCAGGATCAGGGTGTGGGCGGGCTTAGTGCCTTCGGAGGACCAGGAGGGAAGGGCACGGTCCAGGCCTCTCCTTGGCCGGTGGATGGCCGTCTTCTCTGTGTCTTCACATCACCTGCCCTCTGCACCTGTCTGTGTCCTGGCTTCCCCTTTTGATAAGGATGTCCTTCATGCTGGATCACAGCCCACCCAACTAACGCCACATTAACTTGATCGCACCTGCAAAGACCAAGTGCAGTCACCGCTATGGCGGTCCTGGGAGTCATGACTCCACCTGTCTTTTCTCAGGGGGTACAGACTTGTGGTCGCAATTCATTTTTGACTATGGAAGTATCTCCTAAAGACAGAGTCACACACACTGAGCAGCCAACCGTCTTCACTCTTGCTTATCCCCCTGCCTCTCCTGAGCAACCCCAGGCCCTCCCTCCATGCCCACTGGGCCTGGGCCCCCTGCAGGTACCACCCAGTCCTTGTTGAATTGAACAGAGCCCCCTTGTCCCTGCCCAGGTTGGGAAGCCGTGTGTGACTGGAAGGACGTGCTGTCGGGGGGTGAGAAGCAAAGGATTGGCATGGCCCGAATGTTCTACCACAGGTGAGCTGTGCTGACCAGAGTGGCTGGGCTCCCCGTCCTGTCTAGGCCAGGGCTGGAGACAGAGTGGCAGCCTGGTTGCTCTGGGGGGTACTGGGTGGGAAGCTCAGGAGCCTGCTCAGCATACACACTCCATAGAGCTTCCTTAAGTGGTCACCACTAGGAGGCCTGGCCCTGTCTCAGGGCCCAGCAGGGGTTAGGCCAGAAGGAGTCAGGGAAGCAGGCCAGAGGTTCGGCAAAGGAGGGCCCACAATCTTGCCCACTCGGCCCCCACCCCCAAGGCCCAAGTATGCCCTCCTGGATGAATGTACGAGCGCCGTGAGCATTGACGTGGAAGGCAAGATCTTCCAGGCAGCCAAGGATGCAGGCATCGCCCTGCTTTCCATCACCCACCGACCCTCCCTGTGGTAGGTGCCCACCCTTCCCACCCAGACCTGAGGGGAGGGAGCACCCTTCCTGCATTGGATACCTTCAGAGCTTGACGGCTGGGAAGGGGGCAGCGCTGCCATTGGAGGGGCAGGGGGCCCTGGCAGGCCTGGCAAGTGTCGTCTGCTGAACAGCCTTTACCTCCATTCCTGTTCCCTCCGACCAGGAAGTACCACACACACTCACTACAGTTTGATGGGGAGGGCGGCTGGAAGTTCGAGAAACTGGATTCAGCACCCGCCTGAGCCTGACTGAGGAGAAGCAGCGGCTGGAGCAGCAGCTGGCGGGCATCCCGAAGGTGCAGCGGCGCCTCCAGGAGCTCTGCCAGGTCCTGGGCCACGGCCCCGGGGGCCTGCAGGGTGCTGCCACCTGACAGAGGGCCTTGGCTTTTGGCCCTTGGGCCCCAGCCCTCCCTGAACCTTTGGATCACATGAAGGAAAGAGCATCTGCCCGCCAGCCCCACTCCCAGCCCCAGCGCAGGCCCGCCCTGCATGCCTTCCTGCCCTATGGCTACCACCTGAGAGGCTCTCTGAGGCTCTTGTCCCACAGCCAGATGGGACCCACAGCCAGACTGGGCCCTGTCTGTGCCCCCTCTCCCTACCAGTTGTCCTGAAGAGCATTTCCTAGGGAGTGATGATAAGCACGTAGTCTTTGTCCCTTTCAGTCCCCAGCCTTCTCTCTTCTACAAGGTAATTTATTAGATTCCTGTTTGTAGCCATCTCGATTACCAATGTGAACACCCTACCACCAAGGGGGGACCCAGGCCACACCCTTTCCAAGGGTGGCCCAGCCTCTGAGCCAGCCCCTCACATCACCGCACCAGCCTACACTGCCAGCCAGCACTGGGGGCAGGGAGGGGGGCCCCCAGGCCAGCTGGAGAGGGAGATGGACACTGGGGCTGCCAGGCGTGAGGCCACCAGTGTGCCCAGCTCAGTGCCAAAGAGGGGTCAGGAGGGAGGGAGCTGTCTGCAATGCCAGCCCCCACCAAAGAGGGAAACCCCACTGCCGCCATGTGCCTTTCTGCACCCTCAGAACCTCCCTCTGTCCTTGAATAAAATCTTTCCATGGGAAGTACAGTCCTGCCTCCGGCCTCTTCTCTGGTGGAGGCAGGTAGCCGCGGCAGTGCAGCAAGGCTGGCCAACCTGGCAGTGCAGAGGACATGCAGCAACAGCATCTCCCAGAAATACAGGCTGGGCACAAACAGGACTCTGGGCCAACCACAGGGCCAGTGCTGGGATGGGGAGGAGGGGACTGACGGCCAGTGTCTGCATGAGGGGCTCCAGGGGGATACCAGGTGCTGGTGGGAAATGGGGGGACCTGGAAGAGGGAGAAGCCTGATCCGGCCAGGCAACGGGACCAGGGGGGAAGAAGTGGTTCTAGACCTTCTAGGAAGAGAGAACACTTGTACAAAGGCCCAGGGGTGAGTCAGGACCAAATTGCAGGGTATTGATAATGAACGCAGGGGAAGGGAGGAGCTGGGGCCACGCTAAGGAGCCTGGACTTATTCCAGAGGCAGCAAGGAGCCACTGAGGAGTTTGCAGCAGGATGGAAACAACGTGGTTACATTTAAAGCAGGCTGTGGGGCAGGTGATTCAGAGGGAGGCAAAGCACACAGCCTGACCCTCGTCCACTGCTGGTGGGAATGGAAGTGGGGCAGCCGCTGGGGAGAACAGTGTGGAGGGTCCTGGAAAGCTAGGCTCGGAGTGCCCGTATAACCCAGCACTTCCAAGAGAACTGAAAATGTGTTCAATCAGAAACACACATGAATGCTCATAGCAGTAGTATTTATGATAGCCAAAAAGTGGGAAACAACCTGTCCATCGACTTGAATGGACAAAATGTGGTCTACCTGTACAATGGAATATTATTCAGCTATAAAAGTGAAAGATGCAAAAATCCACATGATGTCATTTATATGAAATGTCTGAAACAGGTAAATCTACAGAGATCAGTGGGTGCCAGGGGCTGGGTTTGGGGTAAATGGAGAGTGACTGCTTAATGTGTACAAGGTTTCCTTTTGCAGTGATGAGAATGTTCTGGAACTATAGAGGTAATGTTTGCACAGTACTATGTACTGCCACTGAATTGTGCACTTTAATTGGGTTAATTTTATGTGAATTTCACTTCAAAAATAGATAACACATTGATTGGTTGATGATAGATGATAAATAATAGAGATGACAGATGAGATGATAAGAGGTTATTGATGGACAGACAGACAGGAGTGAGCACACCACCTGAAGCAGCCCAGGCAAGACCCACTGAGACCTGAAATCCCAGACATATCAGAATGAGATTAGAAAAACATCAACAGGCATGGGCGAGGGTCAGACTGGTGAGGAGGAGTCAAGGTGGCCCCTGGGCTCTGGCTTGAATGGCTGGGTGGGTGATAGCACTCTTCTCCAAAGGATGAACAAGTCAGGGAAAGTAGGCCCATTTGCTGGACCCAGGCCTGAAGCCCCAGCAGAAACGATGAGTAGGTGGTTGGCAGTAGGAATGTGCAACTTGGACTAGAGCTCTAGGCTGGAGGACCTCTGAGGGGACATTGGCCAGTAGAGAGGCAGGTGCTAGTTGACATACATGGAGAAAGCCTAGCGAGGGGGTGCTTGGGGTTTCACCTGGAGGACAGGAGAACACCATATCTGCACTGTATATGAAGTATGAGGTTAAGATTCATTCCCAAGTCCAGGAGAGGTGGGAGTTGCTCCACGTTCTCCCAAGATAGTGTACATTATCCCTATCTGATAACAAATCCCTTTTTAAAAAAAAACTTACATAGCTATGGGGGAGTATATTCATAAATGCCTCATCTGATAAGGTTAATATCCAAAATATATAAAGAACTCATATTCCTCAACACCCAAAAAACCAATAACCCAATCAAAAAGTGGATGGAGAACCTAAACAGACACTTCTCCAAAGAAGAAATACAAATGGCCAACAGGCACATGAAAAGATGCTCCACATCACTGATCATCAGAGAAATGCAAATTAAAACCACAATGAGATAACACCTCACACCAGTTAGGATGGCCACCATCCAAAAGACAGACAACAACAAATGTTGGCGAGGTTGTGGAGAAAGGGGAACCCTCCTACACTGCTGGTGGGAATGTAAATTAGTTCAACCATTGTGGAAAGCAGTATGGAGGTTCCTCAAAAAACTCAAAATAGAAATACCATTTGACCCGGGAATTCCACTCCTAAGAATTTACCCTAAGAATGCAGCAGCCCAGTTTGAAAAAGACAGATGCACCCCTATGTTTATCGCAGCACTGTTTGCAATAGCCAAGAAATGGAGGTAACCTAAGTGCACATCAGTAGATGAATGGATAAAGAAGATGTGGTACATATACACAATGCAATATTACTCAGCCATAAGAAGAAAACAAATCCTACCATTGGCAACAACATGGATGGAGCTAGAGGGTATTATGCTCTCTAAAATAAGGCAGGCAGAGAAGGACAAATACCATATGAGTTCACTTATTTGTAGAATATAAAAACAAAGCAAAACAAAAAAAGAGCATTAGACTCATAGACACTTAGAAGTGACTAGTGGTTACCAAGGGGAAGGGGAGTGGGCAGGGTAGGGGGACTGTTGAACCACTGTGATGTACATTTGATAAAAAAAAACTTGCATAGCTAGAATGGTTCTGTGGTCTGCCAACAAACCCTACTTGATACAGATGGAAAAAGCCAGACCTGTTAAATACCATCCAGAAAGAAGTTAGTGAAGAGAAATAGATGTCAGACAAAGCAGATTTCAGGGCACCGATCATTATTAGGAATAAAAGAGATCCCTGCATAATGATTAAAGTAATTCATTCAGAACCATTAACCATTCTGAATGTGTGTGCATCTGCCTAGTGCTAGAGCTGCAAATGTATGTCAAATAAAAAAAGCAGTAAAGGGAAAATTAATGAATTAGTAAATTCAGCACAATAAATTATACCATCACTGCAATTGGCAGCTCAAGCAGAGAAAACTAGTAAGTATACAGGGAAAATTGAACAAGCTTGATTAATGGACATCCAAAATCTAGAGACTACACATTCTTTTCAAGTTCACCTTGAACGTTTACCAAAACTCACCATGTCCTAGGCCACAAAACAAATCTCAACAAATATTAGAAGAATTGGTATCATACAAATCGTGTCCTCAAACTGTGATATAATAAAATCATAAATCTATAATAATACTAAAATGAAGGCCTCCTATGTGTCTGGAAATTTAAATTTACAAATTTATATTTAAAGATGACCTTCCAAATAACTGATTGGTCCCAGAAGGATTCTAATGAAAATCTAGGAACAGAACTGAGCAGTGAGAAGGACCTTTGTCCTTCTCAACCCTGGGCCTTTGTTCATCCTTTGGAGAAGAGTGCTATCGCCCACCCAGCCATCCAGGCCAGAGCCCAGGGGCCACCTTGACTCCTCCTCACCAGTCCGACCCTCGCCCATGCCTGTTGATGTTTTTCTAATCTCAGGGATCTCTTTTATTCCTAATAATGATCGATGCCCTGAAACCTGCTTTGTCTGACATCTATTTCTCTTCACTAACTTCTTTCTGGATGGTATTTAACAGGTCTGGCTTTTTCCATCTGTATCAAGTAGGGTTTGTTGGCAGACCACAGAACCATTCTTGCAGATGTGTGGGATGTAGCTCAGGCCAGCACTTGGGAGGACCCGTGTGGCCTTCACACGAAACGAGTAAGATGAGCGCCAGCTCAGGAAGTGATGGAAACCACAGAAGGATCAACGCAAGGCAAGTGGAAGGAAGGAGATGAAGAAGACAGCGGAAATGAGTGAGAAACCAAAATGAAATTAGTTCTTTGAAATGAGTAAGACAAGCCTCTGGCAGGAATGAGAGGAAAGGCTATACATGTAGACAATGTGAGGAAGGGCGAGAGATAGGACAGCCCATCCCAATGTAATGGAAGCCCGGACCCAGGCATAGTCCTCACTTCTCAGACAGCATGAGAATGACACTGCAGGTGTAACACACATAAAAAGGAGTAAATTCACTACAGAAAATGGGAAGAGTACCTACCAAGAAAAGTTCGGGAGCTGGGAAACAGATGGAATAATAACTGATTTAGGAGACCAGCGTAAGCTTTTAAAACAGCCACTTTGCACAAGAATTGGAGGCACTAGATGTCTCAGAAGGAAAAATATGTGCATGTATGGTTGGGAGTGGGGGACGGAACAGAAGGATGGATTGCAAGTCCGCGTAAGAAACTGCTAGATCAAATAGATTTCAATAAATACATGTATATAAACATATATTAATATGTAAAACATAAATTATAAACACACACACACAGAATAAGCTGCTAGGTGCTCACATCTTTGCTCCATCTCATGCAGAAGACCAGACTTTACTCTCTGGTGAGTTAGAATAGAAGGTCTGTGAAAATACAAATCAAAGCCACAGTGACATATCCTTTTATTCCCACTGAATGGCAGAAATTTTAAAGTCTGACAGTACTAAGTATTGGCATTGATATGGAGCAGCAGGAACTCATACATTGCAGGGGCAAAACGGGGATGTAAACTGGTACCACCACTTTGGAAAACTATTAGGCATTACCTAGTAGAGTTAAGACATATTTATGACCTAACAGTATCATTCCTGGGCACACTTTAGGGAAGACATTTCATAAATACACCAGATCAGATGTACAAACCATTCACTGCAGCATTATTCATAACAGGTGAAAGCCAGAAACAACCCAAGTAGCCAATAAATGAACTGTATTAGAGACATATGGTAGAAAACTACTCATCCATAAAAATGAATAAACTACAGCTATATGATCAACTTGGATGTGTGTCACAGATGAAAATGGAATTAAAGCAATAAGTTATAGAAAAATACATCTGGTGTGATTCCATTTATATAAAGTTCAAAAAATACAAAACTAAATAATATATTGCCTAGGAATAATTCATATTTGGGACAAGCATAAAGAAAAGCAAAGAAAGGGAAGGAAAGATGCCTCTGTCAAGGGAGGGAGAGAATATATGGGGACTTCAAAGGCACTGGAAATGTTTTTCTTCAGTTGATGGACATATGTCAAACAAAAAAAGCAGTAAAGGGAAAATTAATAAATTAGTAAATTCACCACAATAAATTATCATCATTCTCTAAATAATTCATATAAGTGGTGTGTACTTTTTTGTATGTATAAGTTTAAATAAGATGAAACTGCCATCTTTATAGGTCAAAAATAGCTGAATATTAAGCATTTCATCTGGTTGTGACCTACCAAATTTTGTAGTAAAAACCAAAAGACTTTATCCTAATGAATTTGGTACTTCAACAAAATGGGCATATTCCTAGGAAAATACTGTTTATCAAAAATAGACTCAAAATAGGAAAATTAATCCTAAAATTCATGCAAAATCTCAAGGGATCCCAAATAGCCAAAACAATTCTGAAAAAGAAGAACAAAGTTGGAAGACTCACATAGCACGATTTCAAAACATATCACAAAGCTACAGGGATTGAAACAACATGGTACAGGTATGAAGACAGACAAACAGACCAATGGAACAAATAGAGAGCCCAGAATCAACCCTGACATAAATGGTCAAATGATCTTTCACAAGGGTGCCAAGACCATTCAATGGGTAAAGGACAGTCTCTTCAACAAATGGTGCTGGGAAAACTGGATATCCATATGCAAAAGAATAAAGTTGGACCCTTATCTTACACCACTTATGAAAATCAACTCAAAATGGATTAAAGACCTAAATGTAAGACCTAAAACTATAAAATTCCTAGAAGGAAACGGGAAAACCTTCATGACATTGGCCTTGGCAATGACTTCTTGGAAACACCACCAAAAGCACAGTCAACAGAAGCAAAAATAGACAAGTGGGACTACATCAAACTTAAAAACTTTTGTTCCTCAAGGGACATAATCCACAGAATGGAAAGGCATCCTACAGAATAGGAGAAAATATTTGCAAATTGTGTACCTGATAAGAGGTTAATAGAGATAGCATATGTCACTAATCATCAGGGAAATGCAAATTAAAACCACAATGAGATATCACCTCACACCAGTAAGGGTGGCCAGCATCGAAAAGACTAAGAACAACAAATGCTGGCAAGGATGCGGAGAAAGGGGAACCCTCCTACACTGCTGGTGGGAATGTAAGCTAGTTCAACCACTGGGGAAAGCAATATGGAGGTTCCTCAAAAAACTAAAATAGAAATACCTTTTGACCCCAGAATCCCACTCCTTGGAATTTACCCAAAGAATACAACTTCTCAGATTCAAAAAGACAAATGCACCCCTATGTTTATCGCAGCACTATTTACAATAGCCAAGAAATGGAAGCAAGCTAAGTGTCCATCAGCAGATGAATGGATAAAGAAGATGTGCTACATATACACAATGGAATATTATTCAGCCATAAGAAGAAAACAAATCCTACCATTTGCAGCAACATGGATGGAGCTGGAGGACATTATGCTCAGTGAAATAAGCCAGGCGGAGAAAGACAAGTACCAAATGATTTCCCTCGTTTGTGGAGTATAACAACGAAGCAAAACTGAAGGAACAAAATATCCGCAGACTCACAGACTCCAAGAAGGGACTAGTGGTTACCAAAGGGGAGGGGTGGGGGAGGGCGGGTGGGGAGGAAGGGAGAAGGGGATTGAGGGGTATTATGTTTAGTACACATGGTGTGGGGGATCACGGGGAGAACAGTGTAGCACAGAGAAGGGACATAGTGGATCTGTGGCATCTTGCTGCACTGATGGACAGTGACTGCATTGGGGTCTGGGTGGGGACTTGATAATATGGGTAAATGTAGTAACCACATTGTTTTTTCATGTGAAACCTTCATAAGAGTGTATATCAATAATACCTTAATAAAAAATTAAAAGAAAAGAAATAGCATTAAAACATTCATAAAAAATAAAACTAATTATAAAAATAAAGTTGACTGTCATTGAAAAAAAATGAATATGGTAAACTTTTTTTATGTAGTTTTTACCACAATAAAGAAAACTGATTCAAGAAGAAACAGAAAAGCTGAACAGTCCCATAATTATTTAAGAAATGGGATCAGTTTAAAATCTTCAGATGAGAAGGGGAGGCCGCACAAACAAGGAAGGCCTACGTAGTTTTACAGCTGAATTCTGTCAAGCCTTCAAGGAACTGATAAACCCTCTCTTACATAAATTGTTCCAGGGAACAGAAAAAGAGAAAATGCTCCCCTAATACATTTTATGATGTCTCAATACCAAAACCTGACAAAGATAATACAAAGCTAAAGAAAAAGCCAATCCAGAGCTATATATGAAAAAAGTACACCATTACAAAGTTCAGTTTATCCCAGAAAATGCAAGAATGGTTTAACATTAAAAAATTGATTAATGTAATTTACCACATTAACAAATGAGAGGAGGAAAACCCTGTCATCATCTCAATGTATTCAGACATTTGATAAAGTTCAACATACAGTAAGGGAAGGAAACTTCCTTAATCTCACAGAGATGTCTATGGAACACCTGTGCAAGCCACATATTTAATGAAACATTGAAAACATTGACTTTGCTTCCATTCAGCATTGTACTGCCCAGGGGAGTAAAGCAAGAAAAAGAAACTGTACTTATAAGGACTGGAAGAAAAGGAACAAGACAGGCACTGCTGGCAGATGCCATAATTGTGTAAGTAGAAAACCAAAAAGAATCCACAAAAGGCATCCGAAAAGAATTATTACACTTAATATGAGTTTACAAGGTCAGTCGATACAAAATCCATACACAAATGGCTACTGTGTTTCTATATACCAGCAACACAATCAGAAGGTGAATTAAAAAAGATGACATTTATAATGGCATAAAAAAGCAAGTCCTTGGTAATAAATCTAACAAATGACGTGCGAGTCATTTAGGGAAAAACATATTGAGAAGATGTTAATAAATAGAGAGATACACTACGCTCGTAGATGTGGCTAGTGTATGAGCAATATTTTAGAGATGGCTAGTTTTCAAAGTGATTCAAAATTCAACATAAACCCTCTACATGCCTTCAAAAGGGTCCTAGTGGAGTTTTTCCTAGAACTTGACAAGCTGTTTTTTAAACTCAGAAAGAAAACTGAAGAGCCTAGAAGAGGCTAGATCATTTTGAACAATGAGAAGGAGTAGCATCCAATGGGGAAAGCAAGGGAGAGGAAAATGGGAAAGAAAAGAAAATGAAGTGACTCCCAAATATCAAGACTTGCTTTAAGGCTTTAGTAAGTGAAACAGGGGTAGACAAACCAAAGGGATGTACAAGAGAGCCATGCGCACATAGGCATGGAGATGGCATGTGACCAAGGGCTCTCTCCACGTATCGGTGGGGAAGAACGGACTGAATAATGGGGATGGGATGATAGGCACCCAAGGGGAAACAGAAAACGTGAGGCTCACCTCAAACCACATACAAACAAACCCGAGCTAGATGGATTAAAGACCTGAATATGAAAACCTGTAAAAATGCCTAGAAAACATACACAGAAGAAAATATCTATGATCTTGGGTAATGGAGGATTTCTAAAATGAGACAAAAATGACGAACCGTAAGAGAGAAGATTGATAAATGTAGTTATATTCAAATCAAGACTTGTTCATCAAATGACACCCTAAGCAAACTGAGCAGACAAATAGCCGGCATGGAGAAGACAGAACAGACCAAGGGCTGCTTTCTAGAACCTGTAAAGAATCCTTCAAAGTGTTAAGGTCCCTCTAGTGACCCACCCCCATCCCCAGTGCTCCAGTCACCCTGAGCCGAGCTTCTCATGTCAAGACCCCAACAGCTCCACCGGCCATCTCCTCCCACCTTGGGGGCCCCTTAAGCCCTCCTGTGCTCCCCCCACTGCCTGCCCCTCGATGGGCACCTGGCCCCCAGGGAGTAGCACCACAGTAGAAAGGACCCAGGGTTCTCCTGGATTCTCCTGCCTTTGCTGCCTACACCCCATGCAACAGCAAATCTCCAGAAATCTGCACCCCACCCCAGGCATATCTGGGATGCACCCACCTGTCTCCACGCCCACAGCCACCCTTGGTCCAGGCTTCCCTAAGTTCTCCACCCCAGGTCCACCAGCTTACATGGGCCCAGTACAAAGCTATTTACAAGGCCATGGCAAGGTAAGTTCGAGTCTCCCTGATTTGATGACTTCTGCATCTTCAAAGCCCAACTTGACCAACCTTTTGCTCCACGCAGTGGGAAATACCCTGTGGGCATGTCACCTGCAGGCCTGGCTTTTGGCAGTCCCCATCTCCCCTTTTGCCCAGTGCCTGCTGAGGTTCATGGTTCAGGGCCACGAGGCCAATGGTTAAGTGCAGGGGCCCTTAGCCCTGCTACTTACTAGCCTTGAAACTTTGTACAAGTTTCCTAAGCTCTCGTGCCTCAGTTTCCCCACCTGTGAATCAGGGGACATCACTATAACCTCTTCTGGAGTTGTGGGAAGGACTGAGTTAATATACACAGAACACTTACAGCAGCCCTGGTACGTCAGGAGGACATCAGTAGTAGTAGCTTAAATCTCCTTTCCTCTGTGATGCTCTCCCTGATGCGCTGAGCGCCCCTGGACTTGACTCCCTCTCCTTGGTGGTGGGCTCTCCTGGCAGTGAGGCTTATCTGTTGGCAAGTAGTTCAGCCCCTCAGACCTAGGAGGCTCTTGAGACAACTAGCAGTGGGCTTTGTCACTGAACAGTGCCAGTGATAGGCCCAAGCCTGGCACCTAGTAGGCATCCAGTGGGAAGGCACTGCCCTGCTCTTACCTGCTCCCCAGGTGCCCGTGGCCCGCCCTCCGCCATGCCCACTAAGGCCAGCAGGGGGCAGCAGCGCCCTGCCCTGCGCCATGGGGCAAAGGGGCGGGCCGGGAGGGGCTGGACTGTGGGGCCAACCTGCCTGGATGAGTCGCGTTGGGCGCAATTGCATTGTGGGGAGGGAGGCTGGGGCTCGGCAGGGGCATACTCCTGGCACTGCCGGCTGCTCCTCGGCCCCAGGTAGGCAGGGGCTAGGACTGGCAAGGTCGTGGGGTGCACGGGCTTTTGGGTCGGGGGGCGCCGACTTGGGGCACGGTGGAGACGGGGAGAAGCCAGGGGTGCGCAGGGCTGACTAGCCGGATCGGGCAAAGGCCCTCAGGCACCTGGTCTAGCCTTGCTGACACCTCCTGATGCCTAGGGGCTCGGTGCTCCCCGGGGGGGTTCCACTGGAGCTGAAAGGTAAGACCCGGGACTTCTGTCCCCAGAAAGGGAAAGCTAGCGGGGTCCGGGGAAAGGGCACAGGGTAGGGAGGCTGCTCATCAGGCTCCCCGCCCCCACAGCCACCCAACCGGCCTGGCCAGGTGGCAGCACCGCCGCCGCCGCCCACAGTGGAGAAGGCGGGGACCCCAGCCTCAGCACACTGCCCCTGGGCCATGGCTCAGGGCCGCAGCTCTGCCAGCTTGGTGTGCAGGTGGTGCCCTGAGAGGATGGCAGCGGAGCCGGCTGCCAGCAGCCACTCCCTTCCCCATCCCTTTCCCGTGCAGGAGGGGGAGGGGACCCAGATGGCAAGCAGTTGCCATGCCTGAAGGCTAAAGGCTGGGTTCCTGGGGACCATGCCCCCACCCCCTCCTGTGCATCCACTGCTGGCAGTGCCCGCCACCACCATGCTGTACCTGGCACGACTTTGCTAGTCCCTGGTGGGGGTAGGGGCTGGGTCATCTGCCCCCTGGCCGGCCTTATTCCCGGCCGGGGGTGGGGGGTGGGGGAGGTCTCCTGGACGGGCTGGCTTTGTCAGTGTCTCCCCTGCCCCCAGCCTGGACAAAGACAGGCATTGAGGGCTAGGACTGGCACTTCAGCCAGGCACCAAGGCTACCAAGGCTGAGGCTGGTTTGCAGGGGTTCGGTGCCCTGACCCTCCCATGGGGGCTCCATGGCCTACCCTGCGACCTTCACAGGGACCCAGTGGCTCCTGCCGGCACAGAGCAGGGCGGAGCTGGCTGTGCAGGTCTCCTGTCCCTTTGCCCCCAGATCCCAGGGGGTGTCTCTCTGGGGGCGGGGAGTGGCAGGGATCCCCCTGGCCAGAACAGCCCGGGTGTGGGGAAGAGCACCAGAGAGTGGGTCCCTGGCTGGGGCCTCTGGACAGAGGGGGCATTGTTGGGGTGGAGGCAGGGCTGCCTCGGCCCGGCCACTAGTGACTAAGCTGCCAGCTGTGGTGGAGCCCTGCTGCCAGGCCCTTGGCCCCCTGGCCTCCCTTCCCCCGCCGAGAGCAGTGTGAATGGAGCCAAGCCCTGACTGTCCTCCTCCCACTCAGGACAATGCCCCCCACGGCTGTCTTGTGCCTGTCACCACTGCCCTGGGGCAGCTGAAACGAGGAGACGTGCCTCCGTGGGTGCCACGCCACTGGGAGGGCCCTTCTGCTGCTCCCCTTCTCAGCGGTAAGTGCCTGGGTGCCATGTTCCCAGAGATGGCCCTGGCAGGGGCAGGACAGGTAATATGATGCAGGGGAGACTGGGCATGGGGCTCCAGTGTGCTGCACTGCCCAGCTGCAGTCCCTCTACCCCCTCCCCCACACCCTCAGACACTGCCGATTATCGGGGTCTACAGGAAATGCCCCGTCCACCCACCTCCCTCCAGCCACCCTCCCGTGCAACCCAGGCCCAATCTTCCTGTCTGTGTTCCTGAGATAAGGGGCTCTGGGGCCTTCCTCAGGGCTCTGCCCTCGGCGGGTATGCCCATCAGTGCGCACACTATGTATCTGTTGGCAGGCTGCTGGGTGCTGAGTGGCCACAGACCCACTCCTGGCTGGCACATGCCTACATGTCCAGCCATGTGGGACCCTGGCTCAACTTAGCACCTGGCTTCTCTCCCCTTCTCTGCGGCTCTGGGCCCCAGGTCAGGAGGAGGGAGGGCAAGGGACTGCCAACGCCCAGGGGCTCTGCTGGGCATGGCATCTCTTTGTGTCTGTCTCACCTGGTCACCTAGACAGCCAGCTGGGGCCTGAGGCTATTGGGCGAGGGCTGTTGCTAATGGCTCGTGGCTGGAAGGCGGGTCAGGGGACACGGCAGGACCCCCACTCAGAGCCTTCTCCAGAGGCTCGGGGCTCCCACCAGGCGCATGGGAACCATCTGCAGTCTGGGCTCCAAGTGGGCTCTGAGTGCGTAGGGTGGGCTCCTCCTTATCCCGGTTCCCCTCTTCTGCATCCCTCCAAGTCAGGCCTCCTCTCACCCCTGCACCCCGTGTTGCCCCTCCATGCCTCCCCAGCCCCTCTGGCTGGCTCTCAGCTCTCCCCTAGCCCTGCTGTCACCAGCCCCAACTGGGCTATGGCCCTCCAGCCCTCTGTGGCCTGACTCTGCTCTCCTCTGCCCAGGGCAGGCAGTGCCAGGGTTTTGATAGGGAATGGCCCGCAGTTCTCCCGCTGCCTCAGTCTCTCCCTGGCTCTCTCTTCTCCCTCCACATTGGCCCCGGCTGCGTAGGGCAAGTTTTCTCTTCCTGACGGGGTCTCCTTCCCCTTACTGTCCCTTGTTCTGTGTGTCACCCCTTACTCTTCTTGTCCCCTTGCCGTCTCTCTTGTCTAGGCAGCAGGCAGAGAATCCCCTTCTGCCCTGTCCTCGCCCTCACTCCTGCCCCCTCTCCCTCTCACCTGCTGCCCCCCCACCTCTCCACCAGCCCTCCTCTCTCTGCCCACCGCCCCCCTGCCCTCTCCTCCACAGTTTCCCCTCTGTCACTCAGAGCCCTTCTGTCTGCGTTCTTCTGGCTTTTCAGGATCCGCCCCCATTCAGTAAGCATACAAAGTAGAAGATGAAATTCTTTCCTTGCCCTTGCGTGCATGTGTGCATGAGTGCGTGCGTGCGTGCACGCACCCCCCACCTCACCTGCTCTCTGCCTCGCAGACACTTTCTCTTTCTGTCCTCTCTGTGCCCCTTTCCTTAGTCCCTCTCTCCCTGTCTCTCTCTCTGCTCTCTCTGTCCCTGCTTTAGGTCTCCCTCTCTCTACCTGTCTGTCCTTCTCTCCCTTTCTATGTCTGAATATCTTCTCGATTCTTCTCTCCCTCTGGTGCTCTCTTTCCTGTTTCCATCTCCTCTGCATCCTGGGCCCGGCTGGAGTAGCGTGGCAGTGCCCCCTCCTGCCAGGCCTCAGTGCATGGCTCTCCCCCAGGCACCTGTGATGGCTCCCTGGCCTCCCTTCAGCCCCCATGTCCTGCTCGTGCTGCTGCAGTTGCTGTGCCCAGTGCTGCCCTTGACCCAGGCCCATCACTTCTCTGCACCCAACACCACCTTCAACCGCTTGGCACTGGCACCAGGCCAAGGCACGCTCTACGTCGGTGCTGTAAACCGCCTCTTCCAGCTCAGCCCCCAGCTGCAGCTCAAGTCTATGGCTGTCACTGGCCCTGTCTTCGACAGCCCCGACTGTGTGCCTTTCCACGACCCAGCTGAGTGCCCACAAGCCCGGCTCACCAACAATGCCAACCAGCTGCTGCTGGTAAGCAGCCGGTCCCGGGAGCTGGTGGCCTGCGGGCAGGTACGGCAGGGTGTGTGTGAAAAGCGAAGCCTTGAAGATGTGGCCAAGGTGCTATACCAGGCCGAGGACCCTGGTGATGGGCAGTTTGTGGCCGCCAATACCCCAGGAGTGGCCACGGTGGGCCTGGTGGTGCCTGCGCCAGGCCGTGACCTCCTGCTGGTGGCCAGAGGCCTGGCAGGCAAGCTGTCGGGAGGGGTGCCGCCCCTGACTGTGCGCCAGCTGGCGGGACCTCAGCCCTTCTCCAGCGAGGGCCTGGGCCGCCTCGTGGTGGGCGACTTCTCCGACTACAACAACAGCTACGTGGGGGCCTTTGCTGACACTCACTTCGCTTACTTTGTCTTCCGCCGCCGTGGGGCCCGGGCACAGGCAGAGTACCACTCCTATGTGGCCCGGGTCTGTCTGCGGGATGCCAACCTTTACTCGTACGTGGAGGTGCCCCTCACCTGCCAGGGCCAGGGCCTCATCCAGGCGGCCTTTCTCACCCCCGGCACCTTGCTGGGGACATTCGCCGCAGGCCCAAGGGGGGCACAGGCGGCCCTGTGTGCCTTTCCCCTGGCTGAGCTGCATGGGAGCATGGAGCAGGCCCGGCGCCTTTGCTACACGGCAGGTGGCCGGAGCCCCAGCGGCAAGGAGGAGGCCACCGTGGAGTATGGTGTCACGTCACGCTGCGTCACTTTGCCCCCTGTGAGTGGCTGAGCCCTTGGCCCCAAACCTGTCCTGTCAACTTAGGTTTTGTGCACCACCTTTTGGCAGCGGCTCTGACCTGCTCTTGCTACTTGTCGGGCCTGACTTTGTCCCTATCCATCCTTGGACCTGCTGTGTCTCTCAGCCCAGAGCAGGGGCTGCCATGGCTGGAAGCTCTCCCGTGACCATCGCCTGTGACGTCTTGCTTAGAGGATGTCAAGGAGGGTGTGGCTCAGTGTCCAAGTCTCCCTGTCTGCAGTGCCATCATTCTGCCCTGGGTCCCCAAGGACGCCCTGACCCTGCCCTCCAGCCTGCCTTGCTCTCTTCTCACTGGCTGCCTGGCTGTCCCCCCTCAGACTGTAGCTCTGGGCCCAGGGAAGGTTCCTCTCCTTTTCTGGAAACTGATTCTCCCCTCCCTGCCCATCCAGGACTCCCCCGAGTCATACCCCTGTGGTGATGAGCACACCCCCAGCCCCATTGCTGGGCGCCAGCCCCTGGAGGCCAGGCCCCTGCTGAGGCTTGGGCAGCCCATCAGTGCCGTTGCAGCCCTCCAGGCAGATGGGTACACAATAGCTTTCCTGGGGGACACCCAGGGCCAGCTGCACAAGGTGAGCACCCAACGAAGGAGGGGGCTGCCCGACTTCTTCAGTCAGTAATGGGACCTGATGGTCAAGGTGGGCAGGAGTGGCATGGGAGTGGGACCGGCAGTGCTCCATCGTCAGAGCCAGCCTGGGCCCAGAAGTCTCTCTGAGGCCAACTCTTGCCTCCTCGTGACCTGCTTGTCTCACTACAGCTGCGCTCCTACCCCTGGCCCCTGAGGGCTTTACCCCCGGTGGCTCTGCCACTGCAGCTGGGTGATGCTGACTAGGGGAGATGTGGGTAGGCTGGTCTCCTGTGCACCCTGGCTCTGCACGGTCGGGTGTCTCCTGGGAGTTCCAGCTGGGAGGAAGCCCCGTGTGTGCCCCATGTGGTTGGCCTGTGGCCATCTGGTGAGTGGGCTCAGTTCAGCCAGCCCTGTCCTTGTCATCCCGCAAGGTCTTTCTCAACGGCTCCCAAGGCCAGGTATACCATTCCCAGCAAGTGGGGCCTCCAGGCTCGGCCGTCAGCCGGGATCTGCTGGTGGATGGCAGCGGCAACCACCTCTACGTTCTTACAGCCCAGCAGGTGAAGGCAGTCCCAGGGGGGCTGGGCACATGCGGTCTCAGGGCCCATACCCGCCACCTCTGTTCCCTGCTGCCCATCCAGGTGGACCGGGTGCCCGTGGCAGCCTGCCCCCAGTTCTCTGACTGTACCAGTTGCCTCCAGGCCCGGGACCCACTATGTGGCTGGTGTGTCCTCCAGGGCAGGTGAGCATGGGGCCTGCACCCAGGCTTGGGTCCAGAGAAGGTGTGGGCCCAGAGGCCACCTGGAAGCTGCTCGGGCCTGTTGGGAAGCCAGCTTGGCTCCCTGAGCTGGAGACATGAGAGCCACTGCTGAGTTCCCCCATCCTGCACCACCCTGCTCAACCGGGAATCTGGCTGGCACCCCCTTCCCAATGCCACTCCCTTCTCACTCCCAGCCCCACCTCAGGCCAGGCCTGTGTCACCTCTCCCAGCGCCCCTCTTGGCCCCACTCGGCACAGCAGCCCAGGAACCCCTTAGGTCACTGCCAACTCAGATCCACATGCCTCCCCGCGGTAGCAGCAGCTGCCCCTCTCTCAGCCAAGGCCAAATCCCACACTGTGGCCACAAAGCCCTAAGCACTTGGCCCCTTCTTCTCTCAACATGGACCAGCTGGGCCACCCTCCCAACCCCCTTATCACCAGTCACCTGGGAAGCCTGAGAACCACACAGTGACCCAACAGGCCCCCATCCCACAGGTGTACCCGCAAGGCCCAGTGCGGGCAGGCAGCGCAGCCCAGCCGGTGGCTGTGGAGCTGTGAGGAGAACAGCCACTGCCCTCACATCCAGAGCCTGCTGCCCACCCACCACCCCCGCCAGGAGCAGGGCCAGGTGAGGCACGACCCCCACCTGCCTGTGGGCGCTGCCCTCACGCTGCTGCCATCTCCTTCTCTGCCCATAACCTCTACTCTCACCTTCCCCTGCCCTGGCTGCACCTCCCTTGGCAAGGTGGGTCTCCCAAGAAGCCCTTGCCTGCTGTTTTCCTTGCATGTGTCCCAGGTTACTTTGTCTGTCTCCCGGCTGCCCACCTTGGCCACAGACGAATACCTACATTGTGCCTTTGCGGACTATGACAGCTTAGCTCACGTGGAAGGGTCCCACGTGACCTGTGTCACCCCTCCCCAAGACCAGCTGCCACTTAACCCTCCAGGCACAGGTGAGGGGCCTCTGGGGCAGGTGGCCAGGGCAGGAGCTGGAGGGGAAGGACCCACATGACCTGCCCTGCCACCACTGTCCCCTCCCAGACCACATCACATTGCCCCTGGCCCTGATGTTTGAGGATGTGGCCGTCGCTGTCACTGACTTCTCCTTCTATGACTGCAGTGCTGTCCAGGCCTTGGGAGCAGCTGCCCCGTGAGTGCCAGGCCTGCCTGCTGGCTAGGGATGGCAAGCCCAGGTGGTACCCAGATTGAGCAGCCCCTACCCCTCCAGGTGCCGAGCTTGTGTGGGCAGCCTCTGGCAGTGCCACTGGTGCCCACAGAGCAGCCGCTGCACATACGGAGAGCACTGCCCCGAGGGCGAGAGGACCATCTACAGTGCCCAGGAGGTGGGTGAGCCCCCACAGCTGCTGCACGGCCCCCCAGGCCCTTTGGCCTCTGAAGGACTGAGGGGCTTCCCTTTCCCCAGGTGCACACCCAGGTGCGTGGCCCAGGGGCTTGTCCCCGGGTCGAGGGCCTGGCAGGTCCCCCCCTGGTGCCCGTGGCCTGGGAGAGCCGTTTGGCCCTGCGTGTGAGGAACCTTCAGCATTTCCGAGTGAGTGATCTGGTGGCCAGGGGACAAGGACTGGGGCAGGGAGAGGATGACTAATAGTGTCCAGGGTCCTGACAGTGTCCACCCCTAGGGCCTGCCTGGCTCCTACCACTGCTGGCTGGAGCTGCCTGGAGAACTGCAGAGGCTGCCAGCCTCCCTAGAAGAGACGGTTGGGGATGCGGGCCTCATCTACTGCCAAGCCCATCAGGTATGTGGCCACCCCACAGCCTCACCTGCCCATGGATACCTTCTGCAGCCCTTGGACACCCCCAAATGCGACCTGGCCTCCTAGCTTGTGCCAGGCCCTCAGGGGCTTGCCTTCTTCACCCTGTCACCACCCCAGGCCTGCAGTCTGGTGGGAGCTGTGGGCACGGCACAGTATCTGACCCCACCTTCCACCCACAGTTCCACCCCTCCATGGCCCAGCAGGAGCTCCCCGTGCCCATCTATGTCACCCGGGGTGAGGGCCAGCGGCTAGACAATGCACAGACTCTTCATGGTGAGCTTGGGGGTGGCCCAGGTGGCAGGGGAGGGCATGGGGCAGAAGGGAGGTGCCTCACTGTGCTGCCCGACCTTCCCTAGTGACCCTGTATGACTGCGCTGTGGGCCACCCTGACTGCAGCCACTGCCAGGCGGCCAACAGGACTCTGGGCTGCGTGTGGTGCAGCCACAACCAGCCCACCTGTCGCTACGGGCCGCTGTGCCCACCCGGGACAGTGCAGCTGCTGTGTCCCACACCCAGCATTGACATGGTGAGCCCCCAGCCTCCTACCCTGGCCTCAGCCTCCCACCTCCTCCCGTCTGCCCTGCCTCTGGCCCCCAGGCCCTAGCGACCTGCCCACTCAGGCTGGCTGCTGGCTGGGCAGCCCGCACTGCACAGTGGCTGAGGGTTTGGGGGAATACCATCACCAGCCTTCTCTGCTGCAGATTGAGCCCCTGACTGGCCCCCCTGAGGGTGGCTTGGCCCTCACCATCCTGGGCTCCAACCTGGGCCGGGACTTTGCCGATGTGCAGGGTGCCGTGAGTGTGGCTGGCCGGCCCTGCAGCCCTGACCCCTTTCTCTACCGCATCTCTGCCCGGTGAGACATCCTGGCAGCCCTCCTGGGGAGGCCCTCAGAGACTGGCCACCCAGAGAGAAGAAATGTGTACCTGGGTCAGATGCACCAAAGATGAGCTAGGCGAGGGGAAGGGCGGGGAGCTGGCAGTGAGAAGGGTGTTGGGCAGTGCATGGCTCCCACAGAGGGAGGGCCTGGCCCACAGGGGCCCTAACTGGCTACTGGGCCTCTGCTCCTCAGGATTGTGTGTGTGACATCTCCTGCCCCCAGCGGCACCACGGGGCCAATCCAAGTGGCCATTGAGAGTCGGCCACCGGGTATCTCAACCCAGCACTTCACCTACCAGGTCAGTGCGCACCCAAGGGTGGTCCCCACACAACGGGCAGTAGGAGGGAGGGGCAGGAAGGCATGGACATCTATGTGAGGTTTTCAAACTTGACCTAAGGGTAGCAAGAAGCATGGCTGCACGTCCATGAGGGAGGCCATGTTATCCGAGTCATCGTTCAGGCCAGCAGCGGGAGGCAGGCAGCTGTCCGGGACGGGGGAGGGCGACAGAGGCAGCAAGCGTGCTGGGCAGGCAGACAGACGGCTGGGCCGGTCTGGGCCAAGGAGCTGCTGGGAGTTGCTGCAGGCCTGGCTGTCAGCAGGCAGGGGGACAGGGGAGAGCAGGGTTCCCTCCAGGTACTAGCCCGAGCCCTCAGGCCTGCGGGGGTGAGGAAGCCCAGGACAGAAGCAGTGGCGGCCAGGGGCAGCTTTGCATCTGGAGTTCTGCTTGACATGTGTGGTACCCAAAGGAGGCGAGTGGATCTCAGGCTTGAGCGCTCAGGGGGCCTGGGAGGTGCAAGCTGTGCTGGAAGAGGAGGCTGCCATCCTGAGGCACAGTGCCCCTGGCCAGGTAGGGCAGCTGGAAGGAGAGCTGTAGGGCTTCCAGAAGGAGGGCATGGTCAGCTATGGCCCAGGAGACAGAGCCCAAGTGCCTTGGGAACTGGAACTGAGGGAAGGAAGCTCCAGGCTGGGCTGCCATGCCTGCCCCAGCTTGCCTTGTTCCCCAGGACCCCATCCTGCTGAGCCTGAGCCCCCGGTGGGGCCCCCAGGCAGGAGGCACCCAGCTCACCATCCGAGGACAGCACCTCCAGACAGGAGGCAACATCAGTGCCTTTGTAGGCAGCCAGCCCTGCCCTATGTGAGTAGCCCTTTCTCCCTGGTCCCAGCCTGGCTGCTGTTTGCTGGAGGCTGTCCCTGTGGGTCTCAGGGTCCTCTTGTGCACAGTGAGGGAGGTGAACACAGGGCTCCCGGAGGCCGTGTCAAAGTCCAAGAGAAATGGTTGCTGTGCCTACTCGTGGTGGTCTCTGTTCTCATCGGAGGGAGGCAAGTCGGTTCTCTTGGGTGGCTGGGCCAAGGTGAAGCTACCAGACCCCACCCCACCTGCAGACAGGAGCCAGTGTGTCCGGAGGCCATTGTGTGCCACACCATGCCCCAGGCCAACCCAGGAGAGGCGGTGGTCCGTGTAGTCTTTGGCCATGCCCAGCGCACACTGCTCACCAGCCCCTTCCGCTATACTGCCAACCCCCAGCTGGTGGTGGCGGAGCCAAGCGTCAGCTTCCGGGGGTGAGGACCCAGCCCACCCAGGGCAGCCTGGGCACCCTGCCAGGGAGGTGGGGAGGTGGGGCTGGGCCGGGCTGCCCACCCCCATGCCCCTGCTGACTATTATCCTGACACAGGGGTGGGCGGCTGATTCGAGTCAGAGGCACGGGCCTGGACGTGGTGCAGCAGCCCCTGCTGTCTGTGTGGCTGGAAGCCGAGGAAGCGATGCAGGCTGCAGGGACCCCACCCTGGAACCCAAGTCCAAGGAAGAGCTGCAGTGCTCCCGCTGCAGCTCCCCGGGCTTGTGTGCAGGTTGGGGGGGGCTTGCTGCAGGTGAGGCCCCCACCAGCAGGCGGCGGGGCTGGCTGTCCCCAGAGAGGGGGTCAGGGCAGGCCAGTGTGCCCCTGGGAGCGAGCAGGGGCACTCACTCCTCCTCCCCGCCCCGGCCGCCTGGCAGTGCTCCACCATCTGCTCCGTCAACTCGTCCAGCCTCCTCCTGTGCCGGAGCCCCGCCGTGCTGGATGGGGCACGCCCCCTGAGGGTCTTCTTCACTCTAGACAACATGCACGTGGACTTCGCCAGCACCAATGGGGGCCAGGACTTCCTGTACCAGCCCAACCCCCGCCTCGTCCCCCTTAGCCGCGAGGGGCCTGCCCGTCCTTATCGCGTCAAGCCGGGCAACGTCCTGGACGTAGAGGTGAGGGCTCTGCCAGCCAGCTCTGTGCAGCCAGTGCACTCACAAGCCGGGTGGGCTGGCTCAGGCGCCCGGTCTGTCTGCCAGGGCGAAGGCCTCAGCCTGGGGATCAGCAAGGAGGAGGTGCGCGTGCAGATCGGCAACGGAGAGTGCCTGGTAAAGACACTCACACTCACCCACCTGTACTGTGAGCCGCCTCCACAGGCACCACAACCCGTCAATGGTTCCAGCACCCTGCCTCGGTTCGTGGTGAGGCTGGGCTCTAGGTGCGCGGCTGTGTGGGTGGCGGGGCACGGAAGGCCTTTGCTCAGGAACCCTGCCCCCACCCTAGGTACAGATGGGCAACGTGCGGCTGGACCTGGGCCCTGTCCAGTACGAGGCTGAGCCTGTGCTCTCCGCCTTCCCCGTGGAGGCCCAGGTGGGCCTGGGCGTAGGCGCTGCCGTGCTGGTTGCTGCTGTGCTCCTCCTCACCCTCATGTACAGGTGAGCAGCCCCTTCCCGTCCCGGCGTGCTGACCTGGGCCCAGGCGGGCCCAGGCCTGTGGCTGACATCTGGTTCCTGGGTTGTAGGCACAAGAGCAAGCAGGCCTTGCGGGACTACCAGAAGGTTCTGGTCCAGCTGGAGAACCTGGAGATTGGCGTGGGGGACCAATGCCGCAAGGAGTTCACAGGTGGGGAGTGGGCAGTGGGGAGGGCGGCGGCGAGTCTGCCTGGGCCTGAGCACACACCTTGCTGGCTCCTGGCTTACAGACCTGATGACCGAGATGACAGACCTCAGCAGTGACCTGGAGGCCAGCGGAATCCCCTTCCTGGATTACCGCACATATGCTGAGCGCGTCTTCTTCCCTGGGCATGGCAGCTGCCCGCTACAGCCCACGTTCGAGGGGCCTGGGGAAGAGGGCCGCCGTGCCCCTCTGTGCCAGGGCCTCACACAGCTCTCCAACCTGCTCAACAGCAAGCTCTTCCTCCTCACGGTGAGGGCCACGCAGGCAGGCAGGGGGCCTCTGGGGGCAAGGAGGTGGAGCTGGGCACAGGCTAGGCCAGAAGCAGGTAGGGTCACAGTGGTGGGAGGACGGGGGGGCCTGGAGCTTCCTAGGGTGAGTGCCAGCACCCTCCTGTGCCTTCCTAGCTCGTCCGCACCCTGGAGGAGCAGCCCAGCTTCTCCCAACGGGACCGCTGCCACGTGGCTTCGCTGCTGTCCCTGGCACTGCACAGCAAGCTTGAGTATCTGACTGACATCATGAGGACGCTGCTTGGTGACCTGGCCGCCCATTATGTGCACAAAAACCCCAAGCTCATGCTGCGCAGGTTCGCCTTGGCCTGACCACGGCCCTGGCAGCAGGGGTGGTGGCTCCCCACTGAGCTTCCCCCGATATTCTGGGATGGGCAGGGCCAGAAGCCCAGAAGGTCGGCTAGGACAGAAGCCCCTGGTAGGGAAGTACATGGGCATCCTTACCAGGGACCTGGGCACAAAGGACTGACAGGTGGAAAAGGTCTGCCCTCCCTCAGCTGGCCACCTCGGCCAGGGAAAGGGCAGCCCTGAAGCATTCCATCTCTGACCTGGGGTCTACTCCCTATAGAACGGAGACCATGGTGGAAAAGCTGCTCACCAACTGGCTGTCCATCTGTCTCTATGCCTTCCTGAGGGTGAGGGGCACGCTGGGTGGCACCTTCTCCTCCCACTCTACTTAGGAGCTTCCACCTGGGCCCAAATTCCCCCGGGGGCCTTGGGTGTGAGGACACGGTAAAGGGGAGTTGGCTGTGAGGCACCGTCCCCCTCACTCCCACCCCACCCCCCACCCCCTCAAAGCCTCACACGACCCACCAGTCCCCTGGCCAACACTAGCCTGTCCTGATGGTTGCAGGAGGTGGCTGGTGAGCCACTGTACATGCTCCTTCGGGCCATCCAGTACCAGGTGGACAAGGGCCCTGTGGATGCCGTGACTGGCAAGGCGAAAAGGACCCTGAACAACAGCCGCTTGCTGCGGGAGGACGTGGAGTTCCGGCCCCTGACACTGATGGTACTGGCGGGCCCAGAGGTTGCCGGGGCCACAGGGAGCAGCATGGTGCAGCGTGTGCCTGCCCGGGTGCTCGACACAGACACCATCACCCAGGTCAAGGAGAAGGTGTTGGACCAAGTCTACAAGGGCACCCCCTTCTCCCAGAGGCCCTCAGTGCATGCCCTAGATCTCGGTGAGAGAGCCCACCCGCCAACTCCCCACCTGGATGGAATTCCACCTGTGGATGCTCAACTCGGAGGGACTTGGGAGCGGCTGTGGGTAACTGATTTCCCTGGGTCTTCCCAGAGTGGCGGTCAGGCTTGGCTGGCCATCTAACCCTGTCAGATGAGGACCTGACCTCAGTGACCCAGAACCACTGGAAGAGACTCAACACCCTGCAACACTACAAGGTGCCAGGTGGGGTGGGACTGGGGGGCAGGCCTCCACCTGGGAGTCAGCCAGGGAAGGAGCCCAGCCTCTGCTCACCTCCCCACCAGGTTCCCGATGGAGCCACAGTGGGGCTCATCCCCCAGCTGCACAATGGAGGTGCCATCTCCCAGAGCCTGGCCCAGAGCTGCCCCTTTGGGGAGAGTGAGTCCCATGGCCCAGAGGCACGCATCTGCCCCCAGGAGCTTGAGGCGGGCAGGCAGGAGTCCTGGTCGTGCCATTGGCCTTGCCTAGGTCTCCCCAGCACCTTGCCAGTAGGCAAGCCAAAGCTCCAGGCTGAGCCAAGGTCCTGGGGCACATGAGGGCAGCAGCATGTCCTGCTTGGGAATTGTCTAGACCATGGGGTGTTGGGTTAGGCAAGGGTCTGGACTGCCACCGTCCTCTCCATATCTCTCCTTCCCTGCTTCTCTCAGCTCTCCCCACCCCGACCCACCCTGCCTGGCAGCGGGCTAGGTATCCCCAGTCAGTGGTGTAGGGTTGGGGCAGGGGCACAGGACCGAGGCTGGGCATCTGTGCCCTCAGACATCCCCATGCTGGAGGACAGTGAGGAGGGCGGTGTCCACGTCTGGCACCTGGTGAGAGCCACCGAGGAGCCAGAAGGGGCCAAGGTGCGGCGTGGCAGCCTGCGGGAGCGGGAGCGGGCACAGGCCAAGGCCATTCCAGAAATCTACCTCACCCGCTTGCTTTCCATGAAGGTCAGTGCGGCTAGGAGCTGGGGAGAGGGGGTGCGCCTGAGAGGCCTCGAGGGCCCCACATACAGCCCCCTCCCCGGCCTTACAGGGCACACTGCAGAAGTTTGTGGATGACGCCTTCCAGGCCATCCTCAGTGTGAATCGACCTGTGCCCATTGCTGTCAAGTACCTGTTTGACTTCCTGGATGAGCTGGCAGAGAAGCATGGCATTGAGGACCCAGAGACCTTACACATCTGGAAGACTAACAGGTGCCTTCCTGCCACCCCTGCCCCCATGCAGATGAGACATGGAGTCCCTGAGGGGTGGCAAGACCAGGACAGGAACCCAAGCTTGGCTGCATCCAAGCTGGATTTCTGGCCACTCCCAGCACAGACTCCAAGGACAGCTCCCTCTGGGCCTCAGGGCTGGGCCCCCCAGGCTGATGGCATGTGCCGGACTAGCCAAACCTCACGCTCATGGCCTGCCTGTGTCCCCAGCCTGCTGTTGCGGTTCTGGGTAAACACCCTGAAAAACCCACAACTCATCTTTGACGTGCGGGTGTCGGACAACGTGGATGCCATCCTGGCGGTCATCGCGCAGACCTTCATGGACTCCTGCAGCATCTCGGAGCATAAAGTGGGCCGGGTGAGGGCAGAGCCGCCTGTGCAGCAGCCAGGGACTTGATAAAGGCTTATGGGGGCTGCCACGGGGGCTCGGCATAAAGCCCTTGGGGGCCGGGAGGTGCATAATGGGGGTCTGGGGGCCCAGAGGATGGGGCACTGGTGGTGCAGTCAGGGTGACAGGTCTGGAGTTCCCCCACCTTTCGGCTCACCCCCACCCCCACCCCTACCTGGAACAGGACTCCCCAGTGAACAAACTGCTCTACGCCCGGGAGATCCCTCGCTACAAGCAGATGGTGGAGAGGTAGGTGTCGGGGTGTCACAGCTGGGTGTGGGTGCTGCCGGCTCCTAAAACTATGTCCCCTCCTCCAGATACTACTGTGACATTCGTCAGAGCTCCCCAGCGAGCTACCAGGAGATGAACTCGGCTCTGGCTGAGCTCTCTGGGGTGAGGCATAGCCCAGGGGATGCCCCTCTCTCCACGTTTGGGGGTGGGGGCAAGCAGGGTGGGCAAGCTTGGGGCTTGAGGCCCTGGCTAGGGTCTCATACCCCCATGTGCTGCCCGTAGAACTACACCTCTGCTCCCCACTGTCTGGAAGCTCTGCAAGAACTCTACAAGCACATCCATAGGTATTATGACCAGGTGAGGCCTGGGACACTCCAGGGGCAAGAGGCACACCCGGGCCCAGAGGGAAGCCCCGGGAACATCCCTGGGGGTGGGAGGAGGTGTCCAGACCCAATCTGGGCAGAGGGAAGGAAGGGCCCAGGTTAGAGATGGGGTTTGCCTTGTGTCCAGAGTCTTGAAGGAAGCCCAGGACAGCCCCCACCGGATCCCCAGGCCACTGCTGAGATGGAAGCAGGGCAGGGCTCGGTGGCCCCCAGGGCCAGCGGGCAGAGGGCTGAAACTTGAGGCAGGGGGCCTTCCTCTGTCCTGGCAGATCATCAGTGCCCTGGAGGCGGATCCTGTGGGCCAGAAGATGCAGCTGGCCTGCCGCCTGCAGCAGATCGCCGCTCTGGTGGAAAACAAGGTGACTGACCTGTGAGCTCACAGGTCACCCTCACAGCGGGAACCCCATGCCCACCGGGCTGGACAACAGCCAGGAGGACCTGCCGCCACAGTGCCTTATGACCCCCGCATTGAACCAGCAACCAAGGAGGGGCCAGCTGTGAGTGGGAGGGGGTCGCCCCCCCCCAGGAGGCTCCATGCCGCCTCTCACAGCCTGCTCTTCCTTCCCTGACCTGGGCTTCTCTCTAATTTATAGCAATCCTTACCCCTCCCCACCCTGCCACTGTATTTATTTGCTTGCAGAGAATCACATCTGGAAATAAAATAGAAATACATCTTTTTACGAAAAAACCCAACCCCCAGCCCCTGCTTCCCCTTCAAACCTACTCCATGCTCCCTTGCACGACCCTCCCCTTGGCCCCATGGCTGTGACTTCCGTTGCCTGAGGAAAAGAGGGGTCATCAGGCACCCCCAGGCCTTGCTTTCCTTTCTCCCCTCACCTCCCCTGGCCCTTCCATCCCAATCTATGCCCACCCCACCTGCCAGTTCTTTCCTGGCACAGGGACACAGGACCAAGTATCTGCCATCTTGGGCTAAGCACAGTCACTGCCAAGGTCCCTCTGCTTTTTTCTGACTTCCTGACAGTCCCCAGGTGACCTCCCCCTCCTAGGGGCAGCCAGAGGGACCTAAAGAGCAGCGTTTGCCGCCGTGAGCGTTTGCTGGAACCCCACCCTCATGGCAAGAGGCTCTGTCTGGGTGGGGCCCCTCGGCTTCCCAAGGCCTCCCTTCCACTGCCCCAGCGCTGGCCCATCTGCAGCCAAGGCCGGCCACAGAGGTCTGCAGCCTATCCTGCGGCTGGCCACACCCCAGCTAGGGCCTTGTACCCCCCTGAAGGCTACCCCACTCACCTCGTTTCTGGGGACCTGACTCTTCCTGGTCCCTCAGATACAGCCCTAGGGTCACGGGCTCTGGAGGGCTCTCTGCCTGACCTGGACGCCCCTCTGTCACCAGCCTGCTAGAGCTGTGGGCTTGTTTGCTTCCCACTACAGGAGGACTCCCCGAGGGCAGGGCCAGGGCAGACAGCTTCCTGAGCCTCCTGTGTGGGCACACAGCACATGCTGGTGGTGACTGTGAGCAAGGCATGACAGGCCCAGGGGGCTGGAAGGGAGACCACATGGGGTCACACTGCCAGTCCTGGGCGGTCAGGTCCTCAGGCTTCCACTAGGGCCCAGCACCTCCGGTGAGAGGGAAGAGTTACCCTCAGCTCAGGCCCCAGTGACAGCACACTCAGGGAGCGGAGAGCCCTGGGCTCCCTGCCCGCCCGGAGGGCTGAGCTATGGGAAAAGCGGGAACCCAGCAGAGAGTGAACAGTGAACGGAGTACCTGTGGGAGTGGGAAGGAGTGCTTTTGGGAAGGGCCACAAGGACCCTGCAGAAAGCCAGAGAGCATTCCGGAAGTGTTGCTGGTGCCCTAGGCCCTCGGTCAGCAGTGGGGGGCTTGGCCTGAGGACCCGATTGTCACGTCCACTGCACTTTGTGTGGCTGATCTCCTCAGCCAGCTCTGGAGTTTGGGGACTCAGCCTGGAGACCGGGTTGCTGCCCCATCCCCGTGGAGTACTGCCCCCACCAGACCTGGGGCACAGGGGCTTAGCTGGGGACGAGGCTGCTGCATCCCAGCATGAGTGTCCCCCTTGGGCCCGGATGGTGGGGTTCCTCAGTGTGGGGACCGGATCATGCCACACCCCTGAGGGGTGTGGTGGGGGGCTCTTCCGGGGGGCCGCGCTTTCCGGGGCCGCAGGCACCGCGCCGCCCCCTCCCCGCTGCATACCTTGCCCACAGCAGAGCAGCTGGGAGGCTATTTATAAAGGAGGGTGAGATCAGCGGCCGAGGCTATAAATGAGCCGGCCGAGGCCAGGCCCCACAGGAGCAGCCGCCGGGGGGGAGAAGGAGCTGCAGGCCGTGCAGCCAGGATGAGCGCCAGCGCGGGCGGTGGCGGCGGGGACAGCGGTGGCAGCAGCAGCAGGTAGGGCTCGGCCTGGGCACCCGGGGCCTGTGGTGACTTCGCGCGCTCACTGCCTGCTCACCTCGCCCGCAGCTCGCAGGCCTCCTGTGGGCCTGAATCCTCAGGCTCTGAACTAGCCCCTGCCACGCCAGCACCACGGGTGCTGCAGGGGCTGCTGGGCTCCGACGATGAGGAGCAGGAGGACCCGAAGGACTACTGCAAGGGTGAGGCCTGGCCTTGGGCACAGGTGGCTAGATGGCCACTTCAGGGGCATGGGGCAGCTGGGAGAAGGAGCGTGCCCAGGCTGGCCCACCTGCGCCAGGGGGCCACCAGGACTGCGCTGTCCTGGGACCCAGGGGAAGGGGACACCTCCCCACTCCCCCACACCATGCTCCATCAGCTCCCTTCCACAGGCGGCTACTATCCCGTGAGGATTGGAGACCTGTTCAATGGGCGGTACCACGTGGTGCGCAAGCTGGGCTGGGGCCATTTCTCCACTGTTTGGCTCTGCTGGGACATCCAGTGAGTGCCCCCTCTGCCCCCCGGGGCCCAGTGCCAGCTCAGATCCTGCCCCATGAGTCTGGTGGAGGCCGGCAGCTGACACAGGTCTTGGAGTTGCAGGCGCAAGCGCTTCGTGGCCCTCAAAGTGGTGAAGAGCGCAGGGCATTACACGGAGACAGCTGTGGATGAGATCAAGCTCCTGAAATGTGTGAGGCACCACCCCTACCGGCTCTCAGCTCCCCAGGAGCTGCCCAGGGCCTGGCAATGTGGGTGCAAGGCCTGCCGGGGCTCCATGGGGCAGGGCAGGGCTCCCAGAGGGGCAGGCTCCAGATGGCTAGGCCAGAGTGGGACTACCTGCAAGAGCAGGCGAGGGAGGGGCTGGTGACCTTTCTTCCAGTGGGGCCCACTGGAGCTGAAGTGGGGAGGCCAGAGGGTACCAGAGACTGCTGAGGGGAGCAGTGGGTGAGGGGCAGGTTGGAGCCACCTATGGCCCCTTGGCTATTGCTCCAGGTCCGAGACAGTGACCCCAGTGACCCCAAAAGAGAGACCATTGTCCAGCTCATCGATGACTTCAGGATCTCAGGGGTTAATGGAGTCCGTATCCTTTGTAGGCTGAGCCAGCCCACGCCATCCCAGCTACTAAGGCCTGTTTGCTGGTCTGCGTGATGGGGGCTTTTCCCTTCCAGTGACAGTAGTCTACGAAATACCCCCACCACCTTGGGGATATGTATTCGGGCATGGTGGAAGTAGGGAACCAGGCTGGCATTCATTATCCATGGGGGGCGCTGCCCAGAGACTCTGGCACCCCTGGGCACAGGAGGGTCTGGCCCGTAGGCCCAGTTCTGCTCCTCCAGTGCCCTCTCCCTAGGACAATCACAGTGTACCATCCCAACTGGCACACTCGAGAGTGACAGGGACACCACAGTGATGCCTGGATGGCAGTGACCACCAGGACAACCCAGGCCCAGCTCTGCACTGCCAGGGCCTCACTGCTCCTCACACCAGATGGGGGTGGGCAGTACCTGTGCCCCAGCTGTGTGCCCACCAGCAGCCCTTCACTCCTGGCCTCAGATGTGTGCATGGTGCTGGAGGTCCTGGGCCACCAGCTCCTCAAGTGGATCATCAAGTCCAACTACCAGGGCCTGCCCGTGCCCTGCGTGAAGAGCATTGTGAGGCAGGTGAGCATCACATACCTTGAGTGAAGAGCATCGTGAGGCAGCCTGGGCAGGGCTGGCCAAGTTCAGAAAGGCCCTCCCCAGGTACTACACGGCCTGGACTACCTCCACACCAAGTGCAAGATCATCCACACAGACATCAAGCCCGAGAACATCCTGCTGTGTGTGGGGGACGCCTACATTAGGCGCCTGGCCACTGAGGCCACAGAGTGGCAGCAGTCAGGGGCACCACCTCCATCCCGCTCCACAGGTACCGAGAGCCGGTGTGGGGCCAGGCCAGGGCCTGGGGGCCTGAGCCCCTGCCTGAATCTGTTCCTTTCTCTTCCCCTGCACCCTGTCTGCTCCCCCAGTCAGCACTGCCCCTCAGGAGATCTTGGTAAGTTAGGCACCCCTCTTTTCCTGGGCCTCATCTCCCTATCTCCTCAGAGCTTACCTCCTTAGCCTCTCTGGTCCCATGTGTTCCCTGCCCCCCATTTCTTCAGTACCCCTGCTGTGGCACCTCCCCAGTGGCTTGGGTAGCCTAGGTGTGGGTGGGTCACAGGCCCCAAACTGCCCTTGGGGGCTGCTGGGCTCACCACTGCCTCAGTGGAAGGACACTGCATCTAGGGCTGGGAGGGACCAGGGCTGCCTCTAGGAGAGGTGGGCACACAGTCAGAGATGAGCCTGGCAGCTCCTCCCCAACCTCTCAGGCTCTGGCGATTGGAAAGCAGGGAAGGAGATGGGAAGTGGGTGACGGGCTGGTGCCAAGGGCTGTGCTGGAGTGGGTGGCACCATGTCCTGGCATCCATGGGAGCCCTGGGGCCCAGAGACCTTGTCCCCTGTGGGGTGCGTGGGCCACAGCCAGGCTCGGGCTGGTCAGGGAGTGGGTGACAGGGACCCTGGAGTTCCCTTGGCTCTAACAGCAGACTGGTAAGCTGTCAAAAAACAAGAGGAAGAAGATGCGGCGCAAGCGGAAACAGCAGAAGCGGCTGCTGGAGGAGCGGCTGCGGGACCTGCACAGGCTGGAGGCCATGGAGGCGGTGGCGCAGGCAGACGGTGAGGGCCCAGGGGGCACCTGGCTGCCAAGCAGGCGCCAGGCCGCAAGGGTGCCCGCTCACGCTGCCTCTGCCTTCTGCCCTTCTCCCCAGACTCCGGCAAGAGGCTAGAGGGAGGCAGTGGGTCTACGTCTTCCTCCGGCTGCCACCCCGGGGGCGCTGGGGCTGGCCCCTCCCCGGCCTCCTCCTCCCCGGCCCCCGGGGACGACCGCAGCCTCAGCCCCGGCTCCCGGACCTCGGGCTTCTCGGGCTCCCTCTTCTCTCCCGCCTCCTGCTCCATACTCTCTGGCTCCTCCAACCAGAGGGAGACGGGGGGCCTCCTGTCACCCAGCAGTAAGTCAGCTGGGGCCGGCAGGCGGCTGGTGGGCAGGGCCCAGGGAGGCCAGGGCTGGCTCAGTCTCTGTCCCTTCTCTGCCTTCCCCAGCACCGTTTGGTGCCTCGAACCTTCTGGTGAACCCTCTAGAGCCCCAAAATGCAGATAAGATCAAGATCAAGATCGCCGACCTGGGCAATGCCTGCTGGGTGGTAGGAGCTGGCTTTGGAGAGCAAAGATGGGCACCCTGCTGTGAGGGTGGAGGCACAGGCCTGCAGCCATTTCTTCAGGGGGGCTCACCCAGCAATCCACATGACCAGACCCCAG